TTTTGTTTGCTCTTTTGTCTTCTTCATTCTTGGCTGCCAGGCTTTTCCTAACATCACAGAGTAGCACAATATGAGGCTACTGGGGGAGTTTTGGTGACATGGCCATGATATGGAGAGAGATGCCTTACACCAGTTTCCAGAACATGGTCATTTGCTGACCACGGTCTCTGTCAAAGTCAAGATTGTAGAAGAGTGTGGCCAGTGTCAGAAGGCAAGTGACTGAATCCCAGCAGTAATTCATTAACATGACATAACTGACAGTGACAGTGGCTCTGGAAACTTTGGTATTGATACCAGAGAGAAAAGAACAGTTGGCTGATCCTCTGTTTAGGCATCTCTCCTCTATCTGAATAGGACTTTCTAAAGGTCAGACCACATAAGATTCAAAGGAGAATGCTATTGCATTTTGGTTTTAAGGCCCTGAGGGACTGTGGGAGTTTCAAGAACATGTGGAGCTACAAGTAAGGCCTTTGAACTGTATGAGTCTTCCAAACCCAATCCTGTCACATTCGTGATTCTGAATATGTTATGCAGGTTTGGCCACTTAGTGCTAAGGCATAAGCAATGAAATGATCACTCATACATTACTTCATACTATTGCTTCTAAGGCTTGCTGCCTGCTCTTTTGATTTTCCATTTATTTTAAGCTGCAAGATGATTTCAAAGGTGTTGAATAACCCACACCTTCCCCAAATAGTGTGCATCTTTTAGTTCTCAGGCTATTTTCTGGTCTGTTCCTCCTTGCTGACATTCTGTCATGAGCATGAAGCATCCTTTCTGGAGCTGTGACAGAGCTTAGAAACAACATTTGTTTGTGAATGACAGGCAGTCTTGCTCTGTGGTCCAGATGAAGCATGTTAGCAATTTACTGTACTTACTTACTCTGTACTTACTTATTCTGCAAGCCAAGATGAAACACGTTCTATTCTTGCACCGTTCCTTTACAGCAACTGAAGAGAATCTGTTTTGGGTTGTTTCAGGCTCTCTCAGAACCTCCTATGTCATTTCCAAAAGCTTATGAATTTGCTAACAACTGAGATATCGCTCTTGTATTTGCCTTGTTCAACACATTCTGTGTAGAAGTCTAGGAATACTGCAGCTAGAGCTAAACCAGCGCACCTTCTCTGCACCACAACCTTTAACCAAGTTTCTAACCAGTTAGTGACATGATTAGTTCTAAACAGGATGATTAATATTTAGCTAACTAGAAGACAGCTAACAGTGTTTTACTCCTGCCAGAGGCTTAGGCCAGCACATGATTATCTTCTTATAACTGGCTTGGCACAAACGTGTGTGTGTTGGGTTAGGGTTTTTGTTGGGTTTCTTTCTTGTTTTTTAGCCCCTTAACCATGTCTAATAACCAGTACAACTGGTCTGTCTTCTTCCTTTCTTGGAGTGTGCTTGGATGTTCCTAACTACAGTGCTCCATAAGCAGCTAGTGCCAATACATGCACGCCCTTGGAGCAGTTCTCCACTTCCATAGACTTCTGGGGGAGCATTTGTCCCAAGCTTCCCAAAAAGCATTGACAATGAGAGAACTCCAGGTGTATAAATAGGATTAGTAGTGTTGTATTGCAGAAAAAAATAATCTGTTTTAGGAATATGACTCAAATTTAGTTCTTGAAACATGAGTTTCTGAGGAGCTCATTAGAACATAGTTATAGTATTTATAGGCAAAGCTCATAGGTGCTTAATACCACCACTCCAAGGTGCAATACCACCTATTGATTATGAAACTTCTACCACCTATTGATTATGAAACAGAAAGAAGTGGGAAGGGTTTACCTGGGGCATTCAAAAGGAATAGCATATATGGGTATGTGCAAACACATGATGAGTTACTCGACACTGTTTAGGGCACCGCTTGGATTTGGGGTAATACGCATCATGTTCAGCAGGAGGGTTATGGAGCTATACCTGGCTGGTAGTCAGGGTTCTGAGCTAACCTGCCAAGCTCCTGTGTGCAAGGCTTTAGAGCCATATGGTCAGTAATGAGAGCTACAGGAGAGAGGTTTCCCCTATCCTGTCCAAACCATTTTCACATCTTGCTTGGGCAATCCTTCCTTCATCTTTATCTTCACACAATAGTGGAAAACATAAAACCTTGTACTTCCGCAAACAGCAGTTGAAATCATCCCAGAGGTATTATCTTAGAGACTAGAAAATGATTCAATGAAAGAAGGAATGAATCATATAAATACTCAAAGTGTTGTACCTCAGCAATGTCCCTCCCTTCTTAGTACAAAGCAAAGAACAAAAGCAGGCTGCTGCCTGGCATGGGCCCCTCCTAGATGACTTACTGGGACTGTGAAATCATCAGAAGCCTCAGAAAGAAGTGCTTATACAGCGTTTATGACTTGATTTTCTTCTCTCCACTTCTCTGCAAGCAGGGAACCGGTAGCTGTGTTCCTTTCAGTGCATATATTCTGTAAGATGGATGAGGAAAGGCAGGGACTGAAGCAAATATATTATGTTCACACATTGCAGAAACTGGCTTTTTAGAGATAAACCATATTGCACAGGAGAGGCGGCATAAACGTTAAAGGTCATAAAAATATGAAACCAGATTTTCATTGCTGAGGATGATTTTAAACACTCTCTTAGAAAACAAGCAATGTTAAATTGTGTGTGGTCTGTTCAAATGGAAAGTAATAATAGGAGGGAGAAATCCTGAACAGGCCATTAAGTGCTATTTGGCAGACAAACCAAGATTGCTTTAGCACTTAGAGCAGTTTCAGTGTATTGATCTCAGATTGCCAGGCTTAGAGTTGAATGTGTGAGATAGAAGAGGCTGAGGAACCCACTATGGAAGGTATCCAGTGCAAATTACTTGATGAAAGATCATTGTACGAAAGATGAAAAGAATTAAGGAGGATGAAAAGAAGTAATTGCAACTGAAGTTTTCATTCTCAATTCACTTCAAATTGTTTCATCTTCTTAAGCAAGTAACTAGGAGTTCATGGGATCCTCCAAGTGCTCCAGTCTGAAAGCTTTTTTGGGAAGCAGCAGGGTTGGTTCACCTTCATGCTCAACTCCTTAGTTTTGCTCGTTTGTTGGCTAGGATGAGAGCGCACTGCAGCTGCTCCCCATTGCTTCAGTGTCTCTTTGTCAGTGCCTTTTCAGTTTTCTTTCTCATTTCGTTCCTCTCTTGTTTTCCTGCACACGGTGCTTTTCACCCAGGCTCTTGTGACATCAGTGGCCAATGTCTGTGAGGAATTGCCTCGGGCCAGTGTGACTTTCAAAGGATAAGACAATTTGTTACCTTGCCAATGAACAGTTTATTACATTTCTAATTATTGTTATTAGTCTGGCAGGTGGTGCCATGCCTGATATTTTTACAACTGCCAAAGATGCAGGTACTTCTTTCATGACACAAAATAAGCAGAGTAAGATTGAAAGAAGAAACAGGCATTCTGCTGCAGGACGGGTTTGGGAATTCTTTGCTCTAATGCGTAGATGACACGTGGCTATTTGCTGTTTCTGTGTCCTAAGCTGAAACATATTGACTCTTGAAAGCTTTTGTTGTGAGACTAATTGTAATGAGAGTGTGTTAGCAACATAAGTTAGATATGAAGGTATCTCTCCCTCCCTCTCAAGCTCTTTTCTCTAATCTCTATGACTCTACTTGTTGTGTAAATTAAAGACCCGTCATATTTATAAACTCTAGCTCAGAGTTCATGTTAATCACCACCTTAATATCCCTTTCTCTATGAAGATCTTAGTTCCTAAACATAGAGACTTTGCTTTCTCTGGTTTGTAGGGTTGCATGCCATCAGATGCAAGAAGTAGAGGATAGAAATGCCATGTGGGTTTCAGTATTAGCTAATGCAATCCCATACTGTCCCCTTTGAGCAGCACAGAACAGTTCCAGCCATCGCTGCCTGTCCAGAATAGTTGATAAAGCAAGTCATGCCTTTTGCTCTGTCATATATTGTGTGGCAAGACATACTTTCTTAAACCAGTTTCACATTGCTTATTCTGCTTCAGTAAATACTGCATGATTTCATGTCATGCTGTTACTGAAGAGAAGGAACTTGGGGGAAGGGGGGGGAACTTTATGTAGGGAGGAAATTAGAGGGACCAGAGCTCAGCTGGAACTTAAACTGGCTACTGCCATGGAAGACAATAAAAAGGTTCCTGTAAACACACTGGCAACCAAAGGAGGAGAATCTCCAACCTTTCTTGGATGCAGGGGAAGCAGTAACAAAGGATGAGGAGAAGGCCGAGGGACTTAATGCTGCCTTTGCCTCAGTCTTTAATAGTAAGACCAGTTGTTCTTGGGGTGCAGAGGAAATGGTCAGCAACCTGCTCCACTACTTGGACACACAAGGTACTAAGGGAGCTGGAGGAAGGGTGGTGCTCACCAAGGCACTTGCAATCATTCCTCAGCAGTCCTGGCTCACTGGGAAGGTTCCAATTGACTGGAGGTTAGTGAATGTGACACACTATCTACAGGAAGGGCTGGAAGGAAGATCTGGGGAATTGTCAGTCTAATCTCAGTGCCAGGGAAGGTGATGGAGCAGATCACCTTGGGTGCCATCACACAGCACGTACAGGACAACCAGGTGATCAGGCCCAGTCAGCATGGGCTTATGAAAGGCAGGTCCTGCTTGACTAACCTGATCTTCTGTGACAAGGTGACCCGCTTAGTGGATGAGAGAAAGGCTGTGGATATTGTCTACCTAGACTTTAGTAAAGCCTTTGACACTGTTTCCTGTGGAATTCTCCTGGAGAAATGGGCTGCTCGTGGCTTGGATGGGTGTACTCTTCACAGGTTAAAAAACGGGCTAGATGCCTGAGCCCAAACAGTGGTGTCTGATCACAAGTGGTGTTCCCCAGGGCTCGGTACTGGGCCCAGTTCTGTTTAATATCCTCATCTATGGTCTGGATGTGGGGATCGAGGGCACCCTCAGTAAGGCTGCAGAAGACACCAAGCTGGGGGGGGAGTGTTGGTCTGCTTGAGGGTAGGAAGGCTCCACAGAGGGATCTGAGCAGGCTGGGTCTGAGGGAGCTGGGGGTGTTTGGCCTGGAGACAAGGAGGCTCAGGGGGACCTTATTGCTGTCTACAAATACCTGAGAGGAAGTGGTAGCAACATTGGTCTCTTCTCCCAAGTAATAAGTGATGGGATAAGAGGAAATGGCCTCAAGTTGTGCCAGGGAAGGTTTAGTCTGGATAACAGGAAAAGTGTCTTCACCAAGAGAGTTGTCAAACATTGGAACAGGCTGCCCAGGGAAGTGGTGGAGTCACCATCCCTGGAGGTGTTAACAGATGTGTAGATGTGGCATCTGGGGACATGGTTTAGTGGTGGCCTTGGCAGTGCTGGGTTAATGGTTGGACTCCATGATATTAAAGGTCTTTTCCAGTCTAACTTATTTCATGATTTTATGTTTGGTCTTATGTAATCAGTATTGCAGTAACAGCTACTTTGATCTTAGTCGTGTGGCTACTATCTTAACAAACAGGAACCATGTTTTCCTGATGTCCTCATGACACAAAGAAACCGGTTCTTGTAAAAAAAGAATCAATTTATTCTTTTCACATCTTTTTGGCAAATCTTTGCTTTTTCCCTGTTTTCCCAGGAATATCAAACAATCTTATTCAGAAGAACCAGACACTCAGATCTGTTACAGTTAATCCAACTGGATTTTACTGTTTTATACATTAGTTCAAGGAGCTAAGAAGGTGGGACAGTCTTCTCTGTCCCTTCCATTGATGTTTTATGACACAGGTACACTGGGACAAGACAAGTTTCCTTAATGCCACATCTACATCCTATATAAATGGAACATAAACTGGCAGCATCCTGTAAGGAAAATGCAGCAATACATTTTGTATAAGATTTAGTGGTTTTGCCCTTCTGTGACTTGGAGGAACTGCAGCTGTACTAGAATAGCTTCAGGATTTGGCTGACTTATGTATGCACCCGCCAGGGCTCCAGGTAAGAACTGATCTTGCTGGAGCAGAGAGCATGGGCATGTTTTGGAGTCATTCCCTGCAGGGGCTGTTCAGCAGGTACAGTAGGCCAAAAGTGGCACTGGTTCAAAATAGTGGCTAAAAAGATATTACATGCCTGACTGCACCTGGTGCAGAGGAAGCTAAAGATGTCAGTCCCCTCCCCTTTCCCCATCAGTTGTCTCCTATTTCTGAGATACAGGTGTGTGGTTACAGTGTAAACACACCAAAGAGTTTTCTAGGCTAATGAAGTGCATGGTTTTAACCTGACAGTATCTGTGCCAAAATAGAGAAAGAGAGAAAATCCCTGCACTTCCACACAACATGTGGGGAGAAAGACTGTTGTGTCTGGAGCCAGGATGGCAGCCAGCACCCGTCCCTCTGGCAGCTACGCTTTGCTGAATGCATTTCAGAGGTTTGGTTTTGTCTTGTGCACACATCATGTTTTCTGTCCACTGTCGGAGCATCTTAAATGAAGACATAATGGATGACTGTGACAGAGGAGTTTGGTTTCTCTGGGCCATTCTCTGCTCTTTTGTGACTATGCAGAAGGACTTGTGTGCTCACTGTGGTTGTTGCCTTTTGCCACTAATTAGAGGAAGAACTGCTCTGGCTTCATCCCTAAGCTTGCAAGTCTCTCAAAGTCATGATGATGTCACTATTTTTTATGTAGCCTGGATTATAAAGATGTAACACTAAAGGAATGACAGTGATTATTTCACATTGGCTGGGTGGTATCTTCTGAGACTACGATTTCTTTAGTACCAATTGTAACTCTAGATACCACAACACCACTTGCTTAGGTTCAAGGAGAAAAGAAAAAGCACAGGTGTGAGGAAGTTGCATTGTACAACTGTGTTATCTGCAATGCAGGCAAGTGATTTATGATTGCATGTTTCATGGAGCTGGAATGATATTGCCAGAGGTAAGAATAAAGAGGAAAATTCAACCTCCCTTCGGGTGACAGACATCTTAAAAAATAAAGAGGATCCTTTTGAATTTTCTGGCAAGTCTCATCAGGAGAGTCCTACAGCAAAAAGGGAAACGTGTCTTTCCCTTTGCAGGCACTACAACTGCCCCAGAACAACCACTACTCACTGTGTAAGATCCCTTTGATAGGCAACCAGGGAAACTGCTGCTGCAGCCGCTAACTGTACCCAGGCTGCGTTCCCTTTCTGCTAGTGCACACAACTTGCTCTTCTGACATTGTGCAATTCCACAGTAATACAGACATTAGTTTCATGGACAACTCTGACCATTTTTGCTTTATAGAAAGAAATCAGCTCTGTAATCAGCAGAATTGATGACATTTGGTGTCCTATGGTTTTCCTTTCCTTCCAAAGCATGGAAAGCCCCAGGTCCCAGGGGCAGGTATTGGGAAAACTTGAAATCGTTCTACTTCTCATTGACTGGCCAAGGATCAAGGGAAATGAGATTGCTGGGTTGGCAAGAGAACCTCAACACCAACCTGAAGTTGCTTGAATAGTATAAACTTGAAGCAGTATGAAGTTTTGATGTTTTCGTTGATAGTATTTAGAGCACAGTATCATCTAACAGCAATCACAACTAGAGCTTTAGCAAGAGAGATGTCTTACACAAGCACAAAAGGTCTGAGCCTTCAAGCAGTTGCTTCTAGTCTGATCTAAATCATGTCTAATGAGACAGAAGTGTTGAACCCCTGAATTAACCGCTCTGTTCCTTCTCTGTTTTCAAGCTTGTGCTTTGTTGCTTTGGGGTTTTCTCTTTTTGCCAATTTGAATCAATTACATTAATTTTGCAGCTCTCCTGTCCTGCACTGCCTTTCAAAAGTGTTCCTCTTGTTCTGTGACTTTCCCTTTAGCTATTTAAAAGTGTTTTCCAAGGAAGATCAACACCAGCCTGGGTGCTTGGCCTTGTTTTGGGAACCTTGGGCATGCCCTGGTGCAGTGCCTGCAGCCACTAGATGGCACAGGGCGAGGGACTCTACACCATGAATAGCAACCTGACGTTTTCAGTCTGTTAAGTATGATTAAAGGATAAATAATATTAAATGTTTCTTTAATAGGAGAAAATGCACAGCATTGACAGTAGTGATTAAGTTGTATTAAACAGTTGTTATTCTGGACACCAGGTGATTAGTACATTCAAACCACTTCATTTCCAGACTTTGGCACTTGGTCATTACTAACTCCAGTCGTAAAGTTCAGTGAATCAAGTTGTAAATAGTTTTATTGGTTCCGTGTTGGAAAAAAATGGAGGGTTGTGAAATTCCTTGATGTTTTCAAGTTACGTATTTCCTAAGCCCTTTTATGTCTATTTTCTGTTCTCTATTTAGTTATTCATCATTGCAGAAACGATAAACTCTGTTTCTGCCTTTGCATACACTAAACCCAACATGGTAACTGAGAGCAGAGAGTTGTGTTCCTGAACAAATATGCCAAATGGAGAGAGCTGCACTTTTACACTAATATCATAGAATCGTAGAATAGTTAGGCTTGGAAAGGAGCTTAAAACCAGCTAGTCCCAACCCCCTGCCCCTGGACACACTGCTGACTGCATGCCATCATTACCTAAGGGAGGAATTGCCTTCAAGCATGAGAGGGGAGCTGCTCTTACAGCTCTGGGGGAAAGGCCCAGATTTACATACGTGCTGATGGCTGCTAGATAAAACACTGGACCTTCACGTCTCTGTTGGTTTGTCTTTTGTTTTCTGAAATATCTGTCATCTGTTTGAGAGTTATTTTATGTCTATTATATGAGAAAGTTTCCTTCAAAGCAGTTTTTTTTGTTTTGTTTAATGAAAGCCTAGGAATTAAGTTGTAAGATCTAGATATATTTCAAGGTGTCAGTGCTCTACAACAAGGCTTCCTTAAAGTTCATTTTAATACCTTTTAAGTGACTGGAAGCAAGTTTTTGGTTTCTCCAAACCAAGTTGAGGATTAGCTTTAACCTGTTTTGGCTTGAAAATTGACTGTTAAGTCTGTTTATGATTCCAGTGCTTGCTGAAGTGACCCTTGCATCACTTAAATGCCACTTTACAAATTGCTGGTAAGATGTTTATGATGAAGTGCCTTTCTCACTCGTAAGCTATTTTCATTGTTGTCTTAGCCTGCTTAACATCAAGCTGGATTTCTGTGGGGCCATAGGTTGTAGAAATGCATATGTTTTACTGGGCTAAATCCTTGACATTCTCTTAGGTGTACATGTATGTGCCTGTAGAACGTGTGTGTGTGTGTGTGCGTGTGTGTGTGCGTGTGTCTGGGCAAGGCAAGGCAAGACAGCACCATAACTGCAGGGAAAATGGAGGAGGTGACTGCGAGTCACCCACTTACTCACTGGCATATACTGTGGGAAACCTGTATTTTGTGGTTTTGAAGAGCACTTGCTTTTTAGACAAGGCAGGCAAGGAGGTAGACAGCCCCTTCTCATTAACAAATTTATCACTTACAGCTCCTATGTAAAACCAACTGAGTGTCAACCCCAAAATGAAGAGCTGCATTGGAAATCACACCTAAGTACAGCAGGTGCTGAGCTGGCAGTTTCACAGAAGATTGTGAAATTTGATCACACAATGGGAAATAGAGCCACTCCTTGAGGGCAATATCTGGAAACATAATGGGGAACCACCCTTCAAAGGTGATCTGTGTAATAATGGGGCTTAGAAACACTTTCTACCTGCTTTGCTTACAAAATGATGAACGTTTTTAATAGTGTTACTGGGTTTTGCACAAGCACACTATATTTAGCTGCACCTCAACTACTCCTGTGCTCAGACACACCCAGGGCAATAAACTGCCCAGTGCATACTTGCTACTACCATCACTTCAAGGTGGGAACTATTAATGAAATTGTCCGTTCTGCTTATACCCTGACATTATTGTTGACTTCTCTGTCTCCAGATTACAGCTTTTCACCCCTATTCTTCTAGGAGCTGAGCATCTGTACATCCCCCTTGTGTAACTTTCACTGCAGCCCTTTTCTAGGGCTAACCTTGATATACATGCTAATGAACATGGAACACCCAGTGTTATTGCATTGGCCCCATGACACTCTGTGCTACTTGATGTCTCTCTTCTTTCTTCTTGAGGTTGCCATAAAGATTGCACCTGTGCTCCTGCATGTAGTTATGCACACCACAGCCTCTGAATAATGTAGACTAATAGAAAAGACTTCAAAGAATCATAACACACTTTTAAAGGGCTGGAAGGAGAGGCTGATGGGATATGTTATAAGAATGCTCCATTTCCTGCTTAGCTAAGCAGTAATTTAGAAGGACATGTAAACTCTGGGCATGTGTTTCAAAGAAAACAAAAAGCAAACAAAAGCTATGCACAGTGCCCTGATGCTGTAGACAAAGAGCAAAGAAGGGAGAGGCTTCCAGCAAATCATCTGCTTGAGTTTGTCATTTTTGGGTGCTCAGACACAGGGTGAGCAGGGTAATGAAAATATTTAGACAGATTTATTTTATTTGATAGAGGTAAATGCAAAGGGAAAGAAGGTGAGTGAGTGGTTTAGCAGTGGCCTGAGCAAGTCATTATGTGATTGAAATCAATTACCCAGGAGCTCATTAGCAAAAGAGAATAAATGCCTTTCCTTCGTGCTGTGGATAGTTTATTGGATCCCTATCACATGTCAAATCAAACACTATCTTTCAAAGCCACTGAAGGATTAATACCAAACTGTTCTTTCTGAGTAGGTGATTTTTCTGAGCAATGAAGCCATGAATGCAAAGGGAATCAGTGAGCAGCAGATACAAGAGCTGTCTTGACGGTTGGAACTGGAAATAAACTACTGCAGGTCAGTGAATTCTAACATCTCATAAATCACATGTACACTGCACTCTGTCCTTGTCACCTCATAATTACCATAGAGAAAGAAGAAAGATTCTGAAGAGCATGCATGCTATTTCAGAGTGAAAATCACACATGTTCACTCTCATTGAACCTGCAGGGTTCAAGTGGGACTTCAGAAATGCAGTAGACTTTGGGCAGGCAACAACAAAACAAAGCATTTAGTGCAGAGTTCAAGGGCACCTATTATATAACTGGTGTGTCTGAGCCCATTTATGGCACTAAGTGCTTGATTTAACAAAGTGTCTTTGGATATTCTAGTATCTTTGTCAGTTCCAGCAGAATAGGATTAAATATTTAACAGTATTAGAGGCTTTTGTAAAGGAAGATCTTGGGTTTGAGATCCCAAGAAAATTGTACTCTTAATAATGAAGTAATGATTACTTTAACAATAAGAGTAAATCAATTATGTTAACTTCTCTGATGATTTAAAGATATTTTAAGTAAGCCCACACACAAGCAGCTGACACATGGAAGACAGAAGCACTGATATATAATGGGAAAATTCTCCATAACACAGGGGTACATAAAAAAATCTTTAATTCAATCATGTATATTTTAGGACACAGGGATTCTCTCCTTCTCAAAAGAATATTGCTCTTATTATCATGACCTCACAAGCTGTAATCTTACATAAATAACAATGGGAGAGACATTCTAGGAATAAAATAGTCTTTTACATTCATAAGTGGACTGCAAATAAATACGTTTCAAAGTGATAGAGTGGGCTGACAATATGGGACTTGTCTGTAATCATACAGCACATGTCTTGCTGGAAATGCCCACAGAGAATTTAACAGTCATGTACATCTTGGACACATACACAGCAGATCGTGTCAACACATACTCATCAGGATCAGGAGACCAGCAATGTAGAGTCTCTTCTTTCTATACACACCTCTCTTCTTTCTCGCTGCAGATTTCACATTCTGCAGGAGGAGCTGGAAAAGCAGTGTAGCACTTGGGGAAAATCTACCCTTGCAGAGACAGAAAACCTGAAGATACCTGGGACAGTTGGAAAGCCAAAGGTTACCTTTTCTGGGGTAACGAAATTGCCAGCTAAACAGCACTGTTAGGCAATTTTATTGCTGTTATCAACAGAGTGATTTTGCTTGTAGGTGGCTTGTCCTTTTCCAGGCCTGTCTCTTAACCAGTGCCTTGGCAAAACACATATAGATGATAGTCTTGCTCTTGCTGCAGTTCCAACAGAAACTGTTGTTGCTTTCTTGCCTCTTCGTATTATGGGCATGTACCTGTCTTATTTGCCCAAGATGGGAAAGTTTGCAGTTGGAACAAAGATGAAGCCCAGGTGTTGATGGCTAGATTTATCATCAGAACTCCTAGAATGTTGAGTACAAACCCAGATTTGGCCTGGAATTATAAAAGACAAAGGTTACAAGTTGAACTGAGCTCTTTTTAATTCCTTGATGATTAGGGTTTTGTGTATGGTTAGGTTTTATCTTTGACCTTTTTTACAAGACCATCAGAACTCCATCCATTTACACCAAAGTTGATTTTCTTCACAAATATAATTTGTATTAGGGAAAAATAAGTTTCCACTGGATAAAACTATAAGTTCTGAAATCCTTTTAATCCACTTTTGTGGGACTTTCTCTTCTGACCTGATGTTTGTCTCTAATGTTACTTTGGACTTCTTCTTGGATCAATCATAGGTTAGAAAAGTTATCAAGAGACATGGTATCCTTGTCAGTCTTTCCCTAATATAGTGAGAAAGGGCATCAGGGCAGCCTAGTGACATGGGCTGGGCTTTCCCCTTGTACCTGCAGGACTGTCCAGGTGGTTGGACTCTCACATCTCTATGATCCACCTTTGGCTTTTTCAATCAGTTAGACATTGCCATTTCTCATTGACAGCAACATCTTACTGGAACATCTTCAAGAGGCCTTGCCTGTTCTTTAAATCTCAAGGGCATCTTTATGAGTGCTGCTATTCTTTATAATGATGAAAATTCTGAAAAGAAGGTTCTTTCACTCACCATATCTATCACTTTCAGGTGTCCATATGAGAAGACAATAGCATTAGCAGGTGTGGCCACTGGGAGCATGAATGCCAACGATGCAGAAAGTGTACAGGGCAGCATGACATAGAGTGGATTGAGGCAGATTGCTTCAGCCTGTGCATGGAGGGAGAGCAAATATGATGGTTTTGATAGACAAACCCACATAGAAATCTTTTGGCAGAGACTGTATTTGTTATGTCAGAAACCTCATTCTTTTACAAACACTGCAGCCACTGAAATGTTGGTTCTGCTTTAGCAAATTCCAGCCAATGCCTGTATGCAGCAAATGCAAGAAGTGATTTTGTGGTCAGTGCTTTGTGTTCCTGATGGTGGAATCTGATCACTCCTGCAGTATAAATTAATAATGGTTGTACTCCACTCTAAAAGCAGGAAAAATGTTGCTTCAAACTGGTTAAGAAGAAAACTCTGTTATCAGAGGAAACAGGGTAGCTCAAGCTCTGAAGGTGACTGGTTTAGGGGTTAGCTGGAGACTGTGGCCTATGCAAACAGATCTTGGTGGAGCTTATTGCAGTTTCTGTCTGGAACCAGCTTTTCGTGCTGCAGAACTATGTCTACCCCAGCAACAGGAATCTCCTGTGGAAATGCAAAAATCTGAATTAGGTCATGGAGCCTGACTAATGCTATCACCTTCAGAGGCTTCTGGAAGGCCAGTGGTCGGAGTGAAATACAGTAATGGAATGTTGCAGGGAAGCAAATGCTGCTGCTGGTGCTGTCTCTATGCAGAACAAATAGGAAAAAACAAGTACAGCTGGCAGTGACCTCATGAGGTTGTTTAGGCCAGAAGGCAAAGTCTAATATGCCAATGAATTTAATCCCTTTATTTTTCAGCAGCAATGGTTTTAGAAAGGTTGAACTAAGCACAGTGTGTGCGAGTATATATGCATGCACATACATATATGTAGATTATATCAGATACACAAACAAGTGCTTGGCTGTGTTAGCCAGTTATTTATAATTGAGCAGATATATGCTTGGGAAAGAGTTGAAAGCTATTCTTATAAGAGTGTTTTGAAATGCTGGAACTTACCATTGAAGCCAGAATAGGGAGGAAGAGGGTGGTGGTGGCCACATTGCTGGCACACTCAGTGAAAGTGGCAATAAGGAGACACAACAGGAGAACAATAGCTGGTTGAGGGATTTGCTGCAGAGGACTCAGTTTGCTTCCTAACCATGAGGACAGCTGAGACTCCTGTAACAGAGGAAAGAGGTCTGTCAGGATAGTCGGCTGGAGAAGAAATAGCCACATCACAGTCCAGTTACATTTCTCATATTGATTCTACCTTCCCTTCTTATAGGGCTCTCATGCAAACTGCTTTCTATAGAACAAGTAAAAGGTAATGCTCATAGATACAATTATTTGGTAGGCTAAATAACAATAAACATGCTTTTCCTTCCAAAGAATTTGAAATAAGAAAAAGATACTGCATTATAGTATGTTATTCATGGCAAATAATTATTTCTCTGGTCAGGTCATTATTACACATGATCAATATTCAGGGCTTTTTGTTTCAATCTAAACATTTTTATCTGCTTCTGAAGGTTCTCCAGCTAGCTCTGCATTTGTCTTCTAATTTAATTTAAATCCTATTTCCATAAGTAGTTAGTTTGAAATAGTTTGGAGACCCATCCTGGGCACATCATCTCCTCATTCTTCCCACATCAGTTAAGGTTTATTTAATAAAACCTTCAATGTGTTGGGGTAGTTTCTTAATCATCCACTCTTCTAGAAGCACAGTTAATGTGCTGCCTGGATTGGTAGTACCATCCCAGTTGCACAAGCAACAATAAGGATTTGTTCTCCTCACAGGATTCCTCCTAAGGCAGTCTGTCCTACTGCCACTAGCTGGGGAGATGCATGTTTAGTGCTACCAGCATGCCCTCTTGTGTTCTGGGAGAGCACTCATGGAAAGCAAGATGGAAAACACCCAGGAAGACACAAATACCAGGTAAGCAGAGGAGTGTTACCTCACTGCCTTTGGCTAAGGCAAAGCCACCTCCCAGCAGAAACACAATGTTCCATGGCATTTTCTGGTGAACCACTTTCCAGTCCAGGAGAGCTGGGGGTGCTTGGATCCTTGGCTTGCTGCCTAAAAGCCAGAAAGACTTTGTAAGCCATTGTTGCATCCTCCAGAGAAAAGAGAACTTCCCGGAGGGAGGTGAGTTTAGTTTGAATATCAGGGAACACTTCTGCCAGCAAGATTCAAGTAGACTGAAATTATCTCTTAAAGCCATCATCAACAAAGATTTAAAACTTGACTTGCAAAAATACTTATGAGTGATGTGTAGCTGCTCCAAAAGGCATGATAGAGTGAAGGTAAGAGGGAGGGAAAAGTATGGCAACATATCTGGTAAGTAATGTATTCTCTCCTGAAGACTCCAGCAGCTTTTACAGATGTGTATACTAGTGTCCAGAACATTGCTGGGGTAAGTGTTTCCTACTTAGTTAAATTACAAAACCAGAGAACTTTCATGAGCTATGTGCCTTGCCTATCCTAAAGCATTACAGCTATGCAGGAAGAGCAGTTTGAATTCTTGTTTCATGTCAACATACCCGTTTGGTCATTGTCTCTGAAACTGATTGACATGTCAGAAGGGATGATGAACAACAGAACCGAGATGAAGATGGCAACTGTAGCATCAGTGACATAGCTGCAAGAGGTCAGGCAGATATTCAGTTCAGCTCTGTTCTCATTTCCATTAAATCTAGCTTACTTTATTCCAAGTGAGGAGGAGAAGGGGTTATACCTCGTATCATTTTTGTTGAACAGAACTGTTGCCCAGCCTGGGATGAAGCCAGGATCTCTTGTAAACCAGAGCACTACCAGTAGTACAAAGAGGACCAAAACTGCTATTTCTGCAAATTTCATTGGGCCCAGTTTCTTGCTCTCTTCCTTGATAATGTCATAGGCCTGTTGCTCCTTTGCCTTTGCAGAGGCATTTGTAGCACACCCAAAGTTCTCATGAAAACTAGAAGAAAATGGACAAGAAATATCAGAGAAATTTGCCAGATATCCTTAGAGGTAAGAATCCAAATGTTATACATGGTCATATTGTCTTTTAGATAGAAGTATTTATATATGCATATAGAAATCATATATATTATCATCACATCAGCAGCCACAGGTGTTGGATAGTAACTGCATTGTACTGTGTATTACCAAGATGACCAGAGAGGAGCTTCCTGCCCCTAAAAACTCATCCTCTACAGACAGGCAGGGATGCTATACGGACACATGGGAAATAATGGCAATGTTGGTGTGTGAGTGACAAGACTACATGATCACCAGGAAGTAAACAGTTGCCAAGCTTTTTAAAATTATGGAAAAGGAGAGTTTTAAAAGTGGAATTTCCAGCTGAAACTGGTGGTATTATATATTTCAGGTATTACAGCACTCTTTCAGTTTAAAAGAGAGGACGATGGGGATAATGCAAAAGTGATACGCTAAGTATTAAAGTAGTAGACAGTGCAAGCTGGTGGTATGGGGTGGTTACCAGTGGGAATGACACAGTCCTGATCCCCTAGGTCTGGAGCAACTCTTGTCACAAAGGTATTTACCAAGTGTAAGTAGAAATTAAATTCCTGGTTTGAAGCACAACAGTCTTTCAGGACCTGAAAGCAATGCTGCAGAACAGGTTGTATGCAGTTATAACTTCATGTTTTCATCTACCAAGTGTACTTAGCAGGGGTTTGATCAGATTCCTCAGAGGCAAAGTTACAGTATTTTAATAGATACTTAGTATGCTGCTCTGGTAGTGTCTGTTGTATGTGAGGACTTGTCACTTGCTGTCTGAATTTCAAGCATAAGCTCACCACTAAAAGCATCACTTGTGTTCCAACATGTAACGAATACTTGATAACAGGCTTGTCAGCTGTAATACAGTGTGTAAAGGGTACTTACTTAAAGCCCAAGTACAGTATCAGCAGCCAAATCCACGTCAAAGCCAGTAACAAGATCATGGTGGGGAAGGCAAAGGAGAACCAAGAGGCAAAGTTGATGATATGGCCATTTTCAGGAAAGAGCCTGTGGAATGCAGATGGCTGTTAGCATCCAAAACTCTGCACTCTTTTGTATTTAATGGTTCAAAAAAGCAGAGGTACTGAGACCCACTAAGGAAGACAAGCTGACTTCCCAGAAAGTTACTAAATGGGTATTTTTCTTCTCTGTGTTGGCTGGAAGTCAGCTGTGGCAGAATGATGCACTTTAATGGGTATGTAACCCCAAATTCAGCCAGACTTACTCATCAACTTGTCCTTGCAGTATCAGATTTGGTGTTGTCCCAGTTAGAGTTGCAATCCCTCCAATACTGGCTGAGTAACAAATAGAGAGAGACATTCCCTTGCTGAGTTTCTTGTGTTTCTCCTCTAGCAAATTTTCATTTCTCTTTTTATCTTCCTCGATTGTCAGGGCATAACTATTACCTAGGTCCCAAGACAAGAACAAAAGTGTTACAGGTGCTAGATTGGGTAGGAAAAGATCTTGTGCCTGCATAATACAGTATTTCAAGGCTAAGACACAATAGACAAAGAATTCCAGGAGAGGAGTTGGACTGAAGAGAACTTGTTCTGTACCAGCACCTCACTCCTGGCACTGAGATTTGCATTTTGAGTGGTCTCAAAGAGGGGAAGAAGGCAAGACAGCTGGTAAAGAGAGATTGTTGTATGATTGCATACCTTTGGATTAGAAAGATCATTTTAATCTCTACCCTTCTGGCATGAAATTTTCCCTTAGGAATTTCCTCTTATCTGATAAGTTACACAGTAGATAACAATTGAACTAATATAATCACAGAGTGAAATATCAAACCTAATATAAAGGCTTCTGGTAAGTGAGAATTTGCACATTTTGCTGTTTCATTGATTAATTATCATATTTTCATCTTTTCAATCTGTTTGTAACTTCAGCAAGTCAGTAGATCTTAACATGCTTTTGTCTGGTTCGTGGAAGAGCCTCATAAATGCCATTGGATGCAGTCAGAATGCTTTGGGTACATTCTTCTTTCAGAATTTACTAACAACTCTAATGACAGTGAAGAAGGCCTCAGGTCATCCTCCGTTACCCCAAAGAGAAAACCACCCATAACCCACTCACCTTTTCCCTCTGTTCCTTTGGAGCTACCTGGCTTAGTTGACTCTTCCTGCAGTTCAAAGGCTTTATTGATCTTTTCAGATGTTTGGCCAGGTGAATTAAACCCTGCTTCTGACTTGTGCAACTGCTCCAGCACTGCTTGTGCTATTGGGACCATCATGGCAGTGGTGGCAGTATTGCTGATCCACATGGACAGGAAAGCAGTCACAACCATGAAGCCCATGAGAAGTCTGACGTGAAAAGGTTTGGAAAAGTCAGTTCAGAACTCAGCTCTGTGATGCCCTTTCTTCATTCTAAAGCTTTGCTGACAAAGCTTTTGGTCTGGAAACTGCTTAGTAACTCACACCTAGTGCTTCCTCCTACCCTGGTCTGCTCTGGGAATGGCACAGGAAGATTTCCGTTTCAGCCAGTTATGTTTTTACATTCTTAGCACTAGGAAAGGGGAAGCTGGGAGCTTGAAGCAGTTTATCCAGTCAGTGTCCTGCTTATTCTACATGATTCTGAAGAAGACATTCCACCTAAACAACACATTAATGTATTATGTATTTCGAAGAGAAAAGCTGAATTTGATCCCAAGTGGCAATCAGTTTAAGCCGTAAGGAAGATGATCTCTCTTTTTTTTTTTTTTTTTGGCATTTTATCCCCTCTATTATTTAAGATTTTCTTCATATAAAATTCTAATCCATGTTTCAGTATTACTCTGTTATTTGTCTCAAAATTATTCTTTAGATGAGATGTAGATTAGATATCAGATGAAAAGGGCTTTATCTTGTATGTGTTTTTATTCTATTGCTTTGTAATTTCCTTCACTATTCCCTCTTTTTATGATCTGAGACAAATTAAACAGAGCCATGAAGCCTCTGCATAACTTAAACATCTAGGCTGGTAAACGTTTGTTGTTTTCAAAACAAGCATCCCCTTATTTCCTCTTCTCTCTCAGTTAGAGTATGTTTTTGTGTTTCAGCTGGAGTCTTTCCTGACTGTCTAAAGCTGTGCTTCTGGCCAAGCCTAGCAGCACCCTTGTCTTTCTGGCACTGACTTGTTGCTATTTCTCCACCTAAAGCCATTTGGCATTCCAGAAAGACACACCAGGTCTGTAACATCAAAGCATCCTCATTTGCAAGGTCTGCTCAGGCACTAACTCACTTGGACTGTAGAAAAGCATTTGTGGGGTACAATTTGCAGATTCACATGGGAGACGACGGGCAGCTAATGCCATAAAGTCCTTTATCCCACAGTGTTACTCACAGGGCTGGTCTCACACCAGTGATAAGCAAGACCCGGAGAGCAACACGCTTGTGTAGGTGCCAGTGCTCAATAGCGATGGCCATCAGCAGTCCCCCAATGAAAAGCATATTGCTGTCCTTCAGGTACTCCCGGCACACCTGTAACATGGAACAAGGGAGAGAAAACAGTGACAAGGACCCAAGAAAGAAGGTGTCTTCTGAGGGAGGATCTCGTTCTGGAGACATTAGCATGGAGTAACTATGGATTGCATCTCAACGGTGGATTTGCTTTGATTCAGATTAGCAGCTCCACCAAGAGTTCACTCTAGGCTCATGCAAGTCCTATCCTATGGAGAGGACAGATGACTGCTGTGTACCAGTACTGCCATTTGCTCTTCTTTGCTCTGAAAATCACCTTAGAAATAAACCCCAAACAAGCTGACCAACAAGCACACAGGCAAACATGTATAGAGTATGATTTCTTACTGCTGTTGAATCCATGATATTCATCAATGGGAAGAGCAGGACAGGGAGGAGAGCTGTGACAGCCAACGGCAGTGCTTCCGTGCACCAAAACAGTGCCATCACTATGATAACATAACCACATTGGGCCTCCTGACAGAAGAAGAGTACATGCAATCAGAACAGACTGTACATCTTACTTAAGCTTTGAGAAAGCAACAGCCCATAATTATATTCATTGCCTGATAAAGGGGTTAGAGAAAATGTTATTCTCTGTCTTTCCCTCTTATCTATCCTCCTACCTATGCAGATCGTAATCAACTGACAAGCAATTCAACAACCTTGTGAGGAAAAGATGGGGGCCTCTGATGGGGAAAACAGAGAACCATAGGAAAAGAAACAAATTGATGACTTTGAACCCTTCATGATAAGGATTGGCAGTCCCTGCACAGGCTTCAGGATTTTGCTGATGGAGGTGCAGAAACACGTACTGAGCCAGCCAAGGTTTCCCCACCTATTTCTCCACGTGTTTCAGGCATGGCTCAGGTGAACCCCAACTCATTTCAACAGCCTGGATTCCTTGTACCTTAAATACCTTTATCTGTTCTTCACTGGACTTTTAGCTTAGTACAGACTTTGAAAGGCTCACTGACAAACCAGTCACAGAGCAGTTTCAGCTTCCATTGACTCTATCTTGTTTCTTTGAAGGAGGTATGATCCCTTATTTTATATTCCTCTTTCTGAGAAAACACTTTTAATTCTTTGGAGAACCACTCCAAGATTTATATACAAATATTTAACTTGGTCCCTATACACTAGATAACTTGTCACAACAGGTTTTCACATAGATGGGCTGATGAAGAGAGTAAGGAAAAGCTAACACTGCTGGTTACAGTGTCTTCCTCATTTTGCAACAGGCCCAATAATAAGTACCTGCAGATCCAAAGGAAGAAAACAGTGGTTGTGTGGGCTTAGATTAAGGGTGGACATGAATGAATGAATGAAATTCATATGAAATTGATCTCACCTGAATGAAAATGTAGTGATGCTAACTAAGGAAACCATTAATGAAGAGATGGACGTTGTAATGGTGAGATTACAGAGGATTAAACTGAGGAGCTAAGATAATGCCTGCCTGCAGGATCAAACTTGTGATGCTTTAGAACATGCTGAGGACTTCTGGACATAGCCTGGAAGTTATGGAGCTGGTGAAGGGAAAGGATGAACGGGGGGGGTGAGAAGTCTGGAGGAAAGGTAAATTACCAAAGCTGCAGGGTTGGAGAAGTAAACCTGAAAGAGATTCATGAAGAGATTACAAGATACCTTTCTGAGCCTTATTTTTGAATGACAGCATTCAAAACCTTAACTACACATCCCATCAAACACTTAAAGCAATTTTCAATGTTGATGATCCTTTTTTCTCCCTTTTTTTGTCATAATAGACACCAGTGGATGTCTTTTGAGAGACCCTGGCAGGGCTTTGGAACATATATTGTAGGCCCAGTGCTATTCTCCTCAGCCTGCTGTGCACAGGCTCCCAGTAGAAGCTGGAACAAGGCTTTTCACATGACCAGTTATCCTGTAAGGACATTTCTCTGTCATTAGACAAAACCTTGAGCATTGTTTGCTCTCATTTGTAATAGTTTAGTGCCCAAAGCTGTCATTATAGCACAGGTTAATAGCTCGACAGAAGAGAAAAATGTGACATTCCATTCTGTAGGTTGTGTGCTCACAACCCCTCCTGCTGAGGCACCAGCTTTTCCTGCTTAACATACCACGATGCACAACCCCAGCACAAGAAACCTTCTTACAGATAGCAAAGGGAAAAGTCCAGGACAGTTTGAATTTATTGTGTTATAAGTGACTACCTAGAAACCAAAGAGAGTCATTTTGAAAGAGGAACTGAACCAAAACATTCCATAGGCAATACAAAGGACTTACTATATGGTAACAATGACTCCAGCAAGTAAGTTTGAGCTGGTGGCCTCAGGACAAAGAAAACCCATCTCTCTCTTTCTGGCTACTTAAAACTGTTCTGAGCCAGATCTCTTTAACTTCAGGAACCCTTTTGGCTGTGGAATGTTAACTAGCAAAATAAGATTCTTTTTCCTGTTTTTTCTTCTTAGTAAAGGTTTAAGTGATACTTTAAGCTATTTTCTTTGCATAGCATGGGAGTAAGAGGGCACTCCTCATCCGTTACCACATTTCTCCTCAAGCCAGTGCCATGCTCTCATTCTTGCTTGCAATCCATAGCTCCAGAGTCTTGGATAACATAGCTCCAAAAAGACTGCTGTGAGGAGGAAAGGACTTTGGGACAGGCTGCATGAAAAGACAAGGAAGAACTACGGGAGTGAGGATGGAGCCTGGCAAAGGAGACTAGAAACTGGGAGTCAGCAGGGATTTGAGGGCAAGCAGAGACCGAAGGAAAGAGCTGGGAGTTGACATCCAAAGAGCAGTGACAAGAGAGGTAGATTGAGACTTACGAATGCTGGGACTGCAATAAAAGACCTGAAAAGTAGAGATTAGATCTGTCTGCATGAAGAGATTGGGAGGCTGAGAAGTAAGTCAGAGCACTGGCAGTCTGCCTGCTCAGCATGCTGCGTTTGAGTGATCAGTGCCTCAGAAATACCTCAACAAATGCTACAGGGATTTGGAGTTAAGGAAGGAATTCTAGGCAAAGTGTCTTCTGAAGGTGGACAATTTCAGTTTCAAATCACTATTTGGGAAGATTCTTATAGGAATATGCTAAAGAAAGAGTGAAATATTTATTGCTTCATCCTCATGTATCAGAGTGCCTTGTTCTTCTGAGCAAGGAAAACGCCTCTTCTATCTGGCAGTGACAACAAGGGAAAAAAATGAAAGGCAGAAAGAAAATATGGACTGCATTCCTTCAGGAAATCAGAAGGGGAATTAAAAATTGAGCCTTAAATTGTGTCTTAGGTTCACACGTATGAGCTTCAGCACAGAAAGTCCTTTGCAACATCAGGCAGAAGCAAAGCAAAAGCCACAAAATCACTTGTCACTGAGCATTCTTCTAGAACATGCTATCACAGATGTATCTGTTCATCCATCTACATCCCATGGCTTCTATATTCCCTCACTACCAGTAGTCAAAGGAGTCTGCTCAGCAAACAAAAAAAGATCTTCAAGCCATAAATGAAGCGTCTCTGCAGAAGGATCTCTATGTTCTCCTCAGCTCTGTCATTTAAAAGGAACAACTCTAAGGAGAGATTTGGAGGTCAAATTCAAGTGGTCTTACCTTGGTAGGGACAGCCAGAGGCAAGGGAAGAAACAAGAGGGGTATAAGCACCACAAGCAGGTATTTCCTGCAGGCCAGGATAATCTGCAAGGAGCGAGGCATGGTGCTGGAGCTGGCCCAGTGCTGAAGGACCCGAGCTCTGCTGCTGGAGGCTATATAAACACTTGGGAATATTAACCATTGACCTCAGGACATTGGGTGTTGTTTTTGGAACTGTAATCGGAGAAAGAAAGAAAGAAGAGAACAAAGAAGGGAGGAGACAGCAGAAAAGTGTCAGACCAGGTACTTTCTTCAAACAATCTTCCTGATAACTGATAAATCCAGCAGAGAATTAACTCCTTGTGGACCAAGTAGGTTTACTAACAGCATCCTGAAATGACCTACGCTGTTTAATAGAACACAAATGTCTTGTCTAATGCCTTCTTAGAGTAGGTACTGTTATTCCTCCTATAAAAAGAGAAACTGCTTCTTCTTAATAGCTTGAAGATCTGCAATACTCAAGGTGTAGAGCTTAGAAAGGTCAAGCAGCATTATATACGCATCACTGTATTCACTGAGAAGTTCTTTGGGTAGCAAAACCCACTAGAGCAGAGCTTCCAGCACCAGATGCCACATCAAGTCCCCATGGAGAAAGTGACTCACAGTCCTCCCCACGTGAGAGCAGGAGCACCCATCTTTGTGTAATACAGCCCTCATGACGATCCCTCTTTCTTCTACTCATAAGAGCAACATGGGAAATAGTAAGGTTTGGTCAGAACTCAGTTCCTCCCACCTGGCAGCCCAGTAGGTTATAAGTCAGGCTTAGGGCCAGAGAGGGAACCCTAACTCTGATGTAGCCTGTTGTATCTCAGTGGATTGAGAAAGACTTGGCCAGAGTGCATCACTTTGTAGATACCAGGCTGAGGATTCTTAACCTTGCTCTTGCAGGTCTATAGACACTGCTTTGGTAGCCTGCAGTGTCCTGGGCAGGAAGGCGAGTGCTCAATGACCAGCAGTTCTTAGTCATTTAACAAGAAACTCTCCAAATCCAAGCAGTGAATTCCTTGGTTCTGTGAATATGCTGGAGTGGAACTAAACTTTCCAGTCCCAAAGGGGGTGTCTTGCTAATGTCACTTTGATGTCTTTGTTTGGGAGATCAAGCAAGTACATACTTCAGATAATGATGATAACATTTCCGTTTTATTGGGATAAATTGTCTCAGCTCTGTTTATAGCTTATTCAAGCAGAGAGAGAGGAGCACAGACATTAGGTCATCTGATGTCAACACCACAAAGAGCTTCTGCTCTTTCCCTCTCTCACCCCTTTTCTGCCAGGGCTTGTGATTGAAAACCAGTGAGGTTTCAGCTGCCAACTCACAGCTCTCTTGCAAACTTGATATAGGCATATTACTCACAAGAAACAGCATCATGTAACTTAACTGCCAGTCCTGAGCGTTAGCACTTCACCCTTGGTACAAAAAGGAATGAGAAAGCACTTTCAAATGAATTATATTCATATTTTTGCTTCTATTTAATGTTTAACTAGTGGCTGGAAAGGTGCAGTGACAAAATCAGCCAATGGCAAAGTAATTGTTCTACTTCATACTCTTATGTCCTAAGTTTGCAATGAAAATCTAAACTGGCACCTTCTTTTCACATCTCTCTTATGAAGGTTGGCCTCCAGCTGCAGCACGGCCAAGGGGGAGTAAGTAACGATGTGGAATGGTTCCTGCCTGTTCCTCAGGAGCAGCGCATCCACAGGGATTGTCCCCACTGGAAGGTGAGTCCTGTTGGTTGCACAGATGCTATAACCAGGCTCTGCAAGTGTGTTACTGCACAATGACTGGTTTACGTGTTCAGGGGGATTGGTCAGAGCTTCACTTGTAGCCCATTAACACTCCCTCAGTGGTGTCAAAGGACTGACATCAATTTGCATTAACTTGGAACCACTCCAGTTTATGTAAACGGGTTAATCTGACACTGAATTGGGTCCTTGGAATTAAAATCCAACTTGGTCTTTCCTTCCTGATCTGCTCTTCCAGTCAGACCAAGCCCACCAGGGAACCAAGCAGCACAGCCAAAACCTCTATGTTGCAGCTCTAAGTTATTTTGTCCTTTCAAAACAAGTATTTTCTAATGTGCTGTGAATCAATAGGATGATTACACATTGCAAACCACAACAGTTGAAAGATCCTAGTGCATTTATGGAATCCTAGAACGGTCTGGGTTGGGAGGGACCTTAAAGGTCATCCAGCTCCAACCCCTGCCACAGGCAGGGACACCTTCCACTAGAGCAGCTTGCTCTAAGCCTCTATGTTCAGAACACTGCCAGGGATGGGGCAGCCACAGCTCCTCCGGGCACCCTGTGCCAGCGCCTCAGCACCCTCACAGCGAAAAACTGACTCCTTTAAAACATTGATTATAACTTTTCCTTTGCAGAGAAGAGAAACAAAACAGGGTTTGAGTTGGAATTCCTTTACCCATCGATCAACAACCCCGCCGGCGTTGAAACCCTTGTACACAGCAGGGATGCAAGCGCGTTGAAAGCCTTGCGCACCGCAGGGATGCAAGCGCCAGCCCCGGCGCCTGCTCTCACTGCAGCTCACACAGATCCCTCCCTCGCTCTGCAGGAGGAAGCGCTGCGATCCCCTTGTCGGTTCCCGGTGGGGCGGAGCGGAGCGGAGCCTCCTGTCCCGAGCGGAGCGCGCTGCCCCGCTCCCCGCCGCCATGGCCACGCCGCCGCAGCCGCCGACCCCCTCCCGCCGCTGCCCCCCGCCGCTGCCCGCTGCCGAGCCGCTCCTCTTCTTGGCCACCCTGTCCCTCGGCTTGCAGGGCCCGCTCGCCACGCAGTACCTCTGGGACCGGCTGGGCGCCGAGCGCGGCTACAGCGGCCCTAACGCCACCGGCCCCGCCGGCTGCGGGAACGGCAGCGCGGCCACCGACCCCCTGCGCCAGGTGGGAGAACAAAGAAGGGCGTATGTGTGTGTATGGGTGGGGGGCTTGGGGGTGCTGATGGGATGCTGCTGGCCCTGGATCTCCTGCGCCTGTCTCTTGCAGGAGGTGGAAGTGCTGGTTTCCCGTTGGAACCTCTGCATCAACCTGGGAGGCTTCTTCGTTGGTGTCTTCTCCGTGACTCTCTTCGGACCATGGAGCGACAGCGTAGGCCGTCGTCCTGCGCTCATCCTCCCCGCGCTGGGTATGGCCTTGCAAGCGGCCATCTATCTCCTCGTCATGTACCTCCAGCTGCACGTTGCCTACTTTCTCCTTGGCCGTGTTTTGAGTGGCCTCATGGGAGACTACAACCTGATCCTGGCCAGTTGCTTCGCCTATGTGGCCGACACCAGCGATAAACACGCACGTACGTTCCGCGTGGCTGTGCTGGAGGCGTGCCTGGGCACTGCGGGCATGCTGGCCAGCATTGGCGGTGCCCAGTGGCGCAAGGCCCAAGGCTACATCAACCCCTTCTGGCTCGTGCTCGCTGCCAGTCTTGCTGCCACTCTCTACGCTGCTTTCTGTCTCCAGGAGTCGGTGAAGCAGCAGAAACCAGCCAAGCTCTTCACACTCAGTCACTACAAGGCTGTCTACAAGCTGTACACGGCCCCAGAGAACATAAGCTCCAGGAGGAAGCTCGCTCTTTACACCCTGGCTTTCTTTCTTCTTGTCACAGTACATTTTGGAGCCAAAGACCTCTTTGTTTTGTATGAACTTGGCTCCCCTCTCTGCTGGGCTGCTGACCTCATTGGGTACGGCTCAGCCGCCACTTACCTGGCTTACCTGAGCAGCCTGGGGGGCCTGCGCCTGCTGCAGCTGTGCCTTGAAGACACTTGGGTGGCAGAGATAGGATTGATCTCCAACATTTCTGGACTGGTTGTGATTTCTCTTGCTGCTACGACACCACTGATGTTTACAGGTGATGCCTCTATCTCAGGCTCTTAGCTTAGAGATGCCAGGAGATGTTTCTGGTAGTTTCAAGCTCATAGAATCATAGAATGGTTTGGGTTGGAAAGGACCTTAAGATCACCAAGTTCCAACCCCCCCTGCCATGGGCAAGGGACACTTCACACTAAACCATGTCACCCAAGGCTCTGTCCAACCTGGCCTTGAACAGCCCGTGTACTGAAAACTGGGGCTTCATAACAGCAAAGGTATCCTAACACTGAAGCTGAAAGTGCAACCATATCATTCCTAGAATATTAAGTTTCCCATAAGCTGTATTACACTGCAGACATAGACTAAAGTGCATTATCAGATGCAGGAGGGTGAGTTTGGTCTAAATATAGCAGAGAGAAACTCTCTGGAGCTATTGATTTCTGGGATTGACTTTGGAGACTTTATTTTTCAGCTGAGCTTTCCCTAATGTGTTGTGTCTTGCTCACAGGTTATGGGATTCTGTTCCTTTCCATGGCAGCCACTCCAGTCATCAGAGCCAAGCTCTCCAAGTTGGTCAGCGAGACAGAGCAGGGTAAGGAGTTAGTATGCTTAAGCCAGATCCTGAAACACTGGCTTCTTGAACAGTGAAACCAAACTGCTTTGGGAGGTTAGGACTTCCCTGGCTCCTTTGGACTCCTGTGCTCCCCCATTCACCCTCAGGCCCATGGTAGCACCGATTCAGATGCTACATTTCAAGATAAGGACAAGGGAAGAAAAGCAAGATGGAAAGTATTGCATTCAGTCTCAGGAACAGTTTGTTCATCCTATTTGTTTCCAAACTTTTACAGGGAGCAAGAGTTAAAATGGATTATACAATGAGCAGAAAGTAGAGATTCCCTGACCAGAGCTTCTTTCTGTAGATCAGTAACAGTGGGAGGAAACCCAGTGTTGTTGAAGGGTTATATCATTGACCATGGGGAAAGATCATGGATAACCCATCGGAGGAGCGTATTTGCCTTCCAGTAATTTATTTGTAGAGCTTGCACTTGCTCTTAACACTGCACTGGAATGACTCCGCAGGTAGACAGAGGGAGGAGGTGACTTTGCACAATTTGTATTTCTTATATTATAATGAAGGTGGCACATACTTGATACCACATTTATGATGGTAAGTCTATAAAGTGCAGTCTTCTGCTGTACTTAATGTTCAACAGGCGATAAGATGGGCTTGGTGTAAACAAATCCACAGAGCCCTGTCTTGAAGCTTCATGATGAAGCTGATAGCTAATATCCCTGGTCAGCCCCAGTGATACAAACTGTGGAAGTCACAGAAACTGAACTTGACAAGTTTGAACTTGCCAAGCCACTGTGGTATGCCTGCTCTCTGCTCTCAGCTCTTCTTACCTACCCCACATGATACCCAGATGCCATGGGAAGTGCAAAGCTTCACTAAGATTGACAGAATCCCACTGAAGGTGATGTGTTAAAGGCATTTGTAGGCAGGGCTCTCTCACCATTAACCTCTTCCATATGTTTTTCAGGTGCTCTCTTTGCTTCTGTTGCCTGTGTGGAAGCGCTGTGTTCACTTGTGGCTACAGGAGTCTTCAACTCTCTCTACCCTGCCAGCTTGCACTTCATGAGGGGATTCCCATTTCTTTTTGGGGCTATAATCCTCCTTGTTCCAGCAGCTATTATTGGGTAATTTACTTCAAATGCCTAAACTTTGCCTTAGGACCTGTGAAGTGTAATACAAAAGATACCGTTTACTTTGCATAGAGGCTCACAGTTTTTAAGGTGTATTTTAAGCTATGCTTGTGAGAGGGTGTTTAGTGCCCCAGTTAGGCAGAGGAGTGGGTCCGTTTCTTCTTGCATCTGAATATTAGTGATAGGATCCATGATGCATCCTGAGTAACGTAGCTGCTGGTGTTAAAAGCACTTCAAAGTCTTGAATTTGAAAGTCCTTCTTTATGGGAGAGATGGAGCTCTCTTAGTGGCCTCTCTGTCTGGGGTTTCTTTAATCAAAGCAAAAGTTGTGTCATGATAGAAAATAAATCCCCTGGTACGTCCTGGGACAGAGAATGTGTTGGGATTTGCAGTAAAAGTGCAGCAGCTCCTGGAAGGATCATTTTGTTCTGTTCCTTTGAAACTTTAAAGCTCAGTTCATTCAGCAACATGCCAGTGTGCCTCCATAGGCTCTGACTGTTCTTTCTTTCTTAGGTGGATAGAAATCTGGGACTCAAACCCCGACTACAGTCACTTCTCAGATGCTTCCCTGTCCCCTGCAGATGGCTGAGAAGCAGCTTAGCAACAAGGACTTGGCCGGCTCAGCAGTGCCCATCTGAAGACTGCTCTTTATACTTGCCTTGAAGGACAGATCAGCATGGGAGGGACACCCTGCTTGTCCTTGCTAATCTTTAAATGCGAGATAGTTGGTAATTGTGGCTCAGACTGCCAGTAAGAACTTGACCTGCAGATGTCAATGCCGCCTCCTCACTGTTGCGTTGGCTCATCTGGCAGAGAAAACCCAAGAGACCTAGAAGCCAAAGAGTAAAAGCTGTTGTTGGCCATTTGCAAGGCTGGTTAGTGGTTTGGGGTTTGGTGAGGAGGAAAGGTTCATGCTTTTAGTGGTGAGAGAAGACTGAATTCTGTTTTAATTGCCAAACATGTGCCCCTCCGAGTACTACAGAGGGATGAGCTGGTGTAGGGACAGGATGAGTGTCTTTGGAGGTAATTTGTTTTTGTTGTGTGGGCGTACTTTTGTGTCATTGACCTCAATTCTGCTGCCCTTCCCAGGATATGTTGATGCCAGCAAGTAAACCCCATGTTCGTAGTTGTTCTTTTCGAAGCATTAACTGTATTGCCTCAATCCTGTTCTCTTAAAACTGCCATAAACCAGCAGTTCTGTATACTCTGCATTGCACACATGGTTGAGATACATGCAATCATGTCTTTACTGTGTAGTTGCTTAGTAGGCATGTTACTTTCAGGAGTAAAACCTCCACTGTCTTCTATGGTTCTTAGAGCTCTTCACATAATTTGGCCTTGCCTCACTCTCTGCTTGTCTCCATTATTTTCCTGCTGCTTCATTTATTGAAGCCTCTGCAGTAAAGCAGCAGCAGCAGGAAGTCACCTGCAGTGTGGAGAGGGAACATGTGAGAGTCCAGAACCAGGAAAAATGCAGGTTTGGGACTTGCAAGCAGCCAAAGCTTGCTGTTCCTGAGCACTGGAGTAAAGCAAGTGGGAGTGCTTAGTCTGTGACCTGTCCTTCAACATGCAGTAAATATGAAATGCTTACATACAGCTTTGTTCCCTGTTCCTTGGGAGCTTGTGGTAAAAGGAGGAGGTGGAGAAGAAGGGAGTTGTAAGAACTTGGTGTTATGCCACTTGCTTTGTGCAGTTATGGCTGTGGACATAGGCAGGAGTTATGTGTCAGATTAACGGGCTAAGCTCAGAATCAACCTCCCCAAGGAACAGGGCATGCTGTGAGTGCTGTGTTAGATGTTTGTAGCTGAACTGATTGTGAAGTTAAGTATTCTCTACCATGGACACCAGTGCTAGCAAGTGCAGTGAAATGGAACTCTTGCACTGCCTCTGCTTTCCTGTTTGTGTCAGGGCGTTTGCAAAGGAGAAATTCAATAGGAACTATTGTGCTCTATTACAAAAATTACCCCAAAGTTTTTCTAGGCTCTCCTCCAAGAACTCCAGCCGTGAAGCAGATACAGGATCCATGCATCGTGACTCTGGGCAGCAAGTAGAGAGTCCCTGGGGGTGCAGCGAGCTACAGCAGCCCATGCAGAGATGAGTGTGAAGCATGACAGAGAATGATGCCTGGAGGATGTCAATTCTGCTGCCCCATCAGAGAATGAGAAAGCGTGACAGCAAGGGAGAGCCAGGGAGAGAAGGCAACAGGGAGAGAAGCATGTGACACAGGTGGGAGTTTTGAGTATAAACCAGATTTATTAATAATGTCTGAAAGAACAACTCTAAACACTTTCTGACATGACACAGCAAAGGAAAAAGCAAGGGTAGGAATAGAAGAATTCGCTTCCTTAAGACTGCTCCAGCTGGAAGGGGCTAGGTATGGGATGTTTTGTCAAGAGCAAGGTGAGTTCCTTAAGGTGAAGATAACTGAATGATGGGGAAACAGGAAGAGTCAGGGTCTGGGCAGCTGGAGCATGAGATGGGATCTCACTGCAGGTGACACCCAAGCTGTAGAGAACAAGTAAATCTGTATCTTGAATGGTGGGTGAGGAGGATTGCTAGAGAGCTCCTGGGACACAATGATCTTACTGTGTATTATTGTGGGGAAGACTTTATGTGGGACACTTCAGTGGCCATGGAAGCCTTGACAATCAATCAGTACTTGGAATTTTCCCTGAAGCATGTCCCAAGGGGCTTTAATCCTTTGGCATATTCACCTTTGGGCTCATCTGTTGGCTTCCTTGTGTTTAATCTGGAGATTACATAGGTTCTATTTGTGATGAATGCTGGGCAGACACAGCTATTAACCTTTCGCTGGAGAGCAGAGATGCCATTAACTGTGAGCTGATAAGAACTATCCATAAAGCTGTGATTAAGCACCAGAACTTAACTTCTTTTTTTTTTTTTTCCCCTCAAATGTTCATGGATCTAAGCCAAAAGGAAATGGGTTTGTATTCCTGATGGTTAAGACAAGCAGCAAGGGTTCACAAAGAGGCAGGAGAAGGACAAGGTGATTCAGATTCCTCATTACCTCCTCAAGGAGTTCTCTTGAGCAGAGGAGCTTGCTCCTTCAGGGTGGTACATCAGCAGACTGATGCTCCCTGGCCATGGCTTCATCATCCTCCTATGCATGCTCTGAAAAAGGATGTCTTTTTGCATTATTCCCTTTGCATCAGAAAAGACAAACTCAGGTAGGAGCTGCAATTTCTGGTCCTAGTTGCAAAATGGCATGTTGTTGAGAGCCTGCTCACCCTCCAAGGCAGGCAGGAGAAGCAGGGTAGAGCTGAGAGGGCAGAACTTGGGGAGATGTGTCAGGGTGCCCCTGGTTCCTCACCCGAGTGTTAGTCCCCCTCCCAGCTGATGTTCACACCTTGCAGATGGTGTTCCCACCTTGCAGCCTTCACCCACCCTTTGCATCAGCTTCACTCCTGATGTTTCAGGGTGAGTAACTGCAAAAAGACCTGCTGGGTGTTGAGGAGAGGTTGGTAGAAACAAACAAATGCTACTTGGTATTGGATTCAGCAGAGACTAGAGACAAACCTGAGCCTGAAGGGCTTAGCCATGGCTGTCAGGGGTGGGTGGCAGTCAGCAAAGAGATACACCAGCTCCTCTTTGAAGGAACAAACCGTGGAAGCACCAACAGAATAAAACACAGCCAGTGTTTAACTCCACAAGTACAGAACAGCAATTAGCATCTTCCATATTTACATGGATATGTTGTCCAGAGATCCAGCCTCCTATGCCCTGTAAGTATAGACCTGATATTGTGGTAAAGCTGAGGCACCAGATGGTGGGAAGGGGTTGTTTCAAAAGCACTTTTTGCAGAGATCCTGCAGAAACTTCACATGATCTGTTGTCTGAAAAGAACCATTTGTCATAACCCCAAACTTCCATTGCCAGAGTTAGGAGCACTGAGTGCCTTTGCAGCATTAAGAGGTGGAAGGCCCTAAAGGGGGGAGTGAGCTTAGTTGATAAAGGGACATTACTGGGAAACAGAAAGCTGCTGCTGAGCTGTTGAGAAGGCCTCTGTGTTATCTTTCCCAAACACAGGGATTTCGTTAGGGCTTAGCTTTTATTTGCCCTTTCCTACTCCTGGCTTCTGGCTATGATATTCCCACAGCACACAACAGAGGCCATATGATGCTTAGGGACCATTTCCTCTCAGCTGCTCTTCTGCATGTCTTCTTGTGATGTATCCCCCACCAATTCCCAAGTTTTGGTTCCTCAGAAGACCTTTTCTCTTTGGACATGTTTCTTTTCCTCTTCAGACATGTTTTCCTTGCTCCCCCAGCACTGCAGGAGGTATAGCCTATGTGTCCTGCCTTCCCAAGGGAGGATGTGGAAGACAACTCATCCATTCCAGAGTCCACCTTAGCTTGGCTCACCAGGCACCGTGTGAGTACTAGTCCTTTAGTACCAAGGGCTTGCATTTGGAGGGCAGAAGGGGGGTGATGAGCCACAGGCCTTGTCTCAAGCCAGGGGAGTAAGATAGGGAAATACAGAGGGATAAATCTGGCCCCACATAAAAAGGGGTCAGCTGGGGAGTCTGTGAGGGGCTGAGGCAGCTGTGCTGGCTCTAGGGCTGCCCCAGGGAGGACAAGCAGTCCAGGCCGTTCTCTGACCCGGCCGAGGAGTCCCGCGAGGAACGTCCCTGCAGAAAGCGGATGATTTTGTCGATTGTGGCCTCCTGGTACTCGTGGGACCACCTGAGATCGAGGGGAAAACTTGGGTTAATGATTCCTTCATGTGAGATGCCACAGGATGGCTCAGGAGCCAGAGAGCCCTCTCCTCCACACCAGCTCTCTAGGAACCTTTTTCCTCATGGGAAATGGATGCTGCTGGAAGGTCCCTGTGTGCCTGCCAGGCTGGCAGGCTGTGAGCAGGTTGGGATGCCATCCCAGGGGAGGCAGGAGGTGAGAGGAGCCCAGGGGGAGCTGTGGAACCTTCAGCATCACTCCTGCCTGGAGCTCTCAGCCAGGGGAGCCCCAAGCACAAAACCAGAGAAGGGCTATGGTGGGGACCTTTGCTCCCTTCATGTAGTGGAGAACCCAAAGTGACTCAGCTCCCCTTTGGCCTGTTCTGCTTCCTTCATCTGTTTCTCCCTATTTCCTTGTGCTCTTTGCTACTGCTTATGCAAGCTGTTCTCTCCCAAGTGTCAAGGAAACCCATGGTACAGGTGCCTTTTACTTACTTGATACCATTGAATTTCAGGACAGCCCTCATGTCCTTGGGAAGTGTTTCTGGATCTGGCCATTCAAAATGGTCTGTAACAGGTACAATATTCTTTCCAGAGTTCAGGGCTGTCACAATCTCCTGTGGGAACGTACAAGTGCTCAGGCTACGGCCTGTGTCAGCCCCTCATGGGCCTTTTCCTGCTCCAACATCCACCAACCTCCCATGTGATAGCATCTCTTACCTTGTGCACCCAGTCCTTACACTCGGGGTCTTCCATGCATTTATCCAGTGCGTTGGGTGAGAGGACCAGCACAAAATTCCTGGCACTCATGACACTCTGGATCAGTTTGTCCTCAAACTTCCCTGCCTCCAGCTTCTCCACGTCGATGAACACACTGAAGCCATGCAGCTGCAGATGGACCTTCAGAAGGCTGGTGGCAAGAGGGAACAGCACCATGAGGAGAGCTACCGGGTTTCACACGCTCTCAGGCAAGCTGTGGTGGGACAGAGGAGCAGTGAATAGGCTCCCACAGAGAACAGCATGGTCCTTGAGATGCCAGCTGCCAGCCCAGCCTCCTTACAGGGGAGCTGGACACTAACTCCCTGCTGTGATCCCCTACAGCCCTATGAGCACAGCGTGAGAACAGGGTAAGTCAGTGTCAAAGAAGGACAGGGTGGCAGTGACAGGACTGGGAATTAGCCTGTCCACCATGCAGCATATGGCACGTGCTGTCCCTGTTTGCACTGCAGCTTTTGGCAGCCTCTCCCTCCTCAGCATCCTGCGGCTTTCCCAGCTCCACACTTTTCCCTCAGCTGATCACCAGCCTTCAGCCCAACCCCATGTCCTTGCCTGCAGCACTCACCTGGCCAGCTGCGACCCAGTGCTCCTCCTGTAGCTGATGAATACATCAGTGCCGTTGGATGCTGTTTGCAGCGTTATAGGGGAGTGAAGCATTTCTAGACAGAACAAACAGCACCCAGAAGTTAAAACCCCCCCAACAGCTCATCCCAAACAACCCTCCCCATTCACCCCCACCCTTGAGCATCAGTGGGACCCTCACCCCTTGCAGCAGTGAGGATGCGGACGCGGTGGAAGCCGGTGTTGATGTGACAGTCCTCCTGCAGCTGCTGCTCTGTCACCCGGTGCAGGAAGTTGCGGTTGATGCCGCATGTGAGCAGGTTGTAGGTGTACTGACGAAACTTGGGGTCGATGCTGCCCAGCCAGTCAGCCAGGTTGCTGTGGTCACACGTGGAATAGTTTGCAAAGGTCTTCAGCTCTGTCAGCTCCCGGAAAAACCTGGCAGGGAAACAAATGGAAGCATGTAAGTGGAGAAAGGAGGCTGCTGGAGCGATGTTTGGTACCACATCTTGTCTGCACAGGAGAGAGTGCAGCTATATGCCATGGTGAAGAGTGAGCCAAAGGGATAGAAAAGGAGGAAAGTTGTGTGACTGTTGGTCTTCAGGACACAGAGGTGTGAGGAGCTCACCTAAAGGAGAAGCTCAGGTAAGTTCCCATCTTTCTGGGTAACTTGCAGGATCCCACCTGCCCTGTGCCATAAATAGTCTCTTCCCATCCCACACCTCTCCCCATTGCCAGAATCCCTTTGGGACTGCGTACTGCACTGGAAAAGCCCTGGCAGGCCAGGATTTGCATTTTGAGGATCTCTGTTCTTGTCTTGGCAAGAAGGGAAAGGCATGGACCTGTGGTGATGACCATGAAGGAGGCCAGCATAGGCTGGTGGCAGTCCTACCTTTTCCGAGTGATACTGGAGTCCATCCCCAAATCTTTCTGCAGCTCCTGCTCTGTCAGCCTCAGGAGAATGTCCCCATCCACCTGGTGGTCCTGCCAAGAGAAATCCAGGCTGGAAAAGCTGTTGGGTGAGATGTTTACACCTCTGCTGTGAGATGGGGCAAAAGGGCCCATCCAGGTATCCCTCCCCTGGCACACAGCCCTACCAGGAACCTCTGGCAGTAACTGTTGAATCCGATCTGCTGCAGCCACGTCTGCACCTCACAGGCCTTCCAGTTGGGAACCGTGGGCAGGATGCGCCGAGGAACCTCCTCCCCTATCATGCGCAGCACCTTCTTGGCCAGGGAGGAGGTAGTGCTGCTGGTGGAGTAGCACACTATCCTCTTCAGGCTCTGAGTAGCCCCAATCTCACTGAAGATCTGGGGTCACAAAGGGAACACACATCACTTTGCTTTCCCTCCTCCTCCCCACAACCCGTGCTGGGCCAGCAGCGGACCAGAGTACTTGGGGAGCTCATAGGAGAGCAAAATACACCAAGCTGCAGTTGTGGCAACCCTTCCCTTCTGCATCTCCTTCCTTCAGGCCAACCTACCCTTTACCTTTGTTTTCTTCTGCCTGGTTTTGATGGCAGCCTCCATGCAGAGGTAGAAGGCAGCGATGCACTGTGCTTCCATCCTCGAGCTGTCCAGCAAAGGTACCAGCCTCTGCAGGTCATCTGCCGTCCTCCCCTGGCTGTTGTCACTGCTGCCCAGCATCTCGGAGGCGAATTGCTCCGGATCCAGTGAGGCAATGAAGGGCTCCACCAGAGCCAACGTTCCCGACCGCTCCACCTCCTTCTCGATCTCCTTGTTGGTGGCCAGCACTGTGATGGCCAGGCAGGCGTGCAGCCGGATCAGCTCATCATCTCTGGAGAACACCAGGGGGAAAAGCCACTCTGCTGTCCTCTTCTCGATCATCAGGCGCTGGTTGGCCTGCCCTCCATACATGGCACAGTTGGCCAAGGCCATGGCACAGTGCCGCAGCACGATGGGGTCCGTCCAGCGGCACCAGTACAGGATAGCATCCAGGCCTCCGTCGGAGATGAGCTGGAAACAGGTCTCCTCGGTGTGTTTGAACATGTGCTCCAGGATACCAGAGACACTCTGTGCCAGCTGGGGAACATCCCTCTCCTTGGCTAAGTTCAGAATCACTCCCAAACCAATCCGAGCAATCCGATCCCTGAAGGAAGGAGAGGCACAGGCAGGTGAGGGGCAGATGGCTGTGTAGGGACTGGGAGCAGTGACTGGTGTGTGAGCTTGCTCATGCTTTGGTGGCATTTGCCCCATGGAAGCCAGATGTTTCCCTGTGGGACACAGCTGCCAGATATGCTGTTGGATGTGATGCAGTGAGATGTGACAGGCTGGTGGTGGAAGAACCTGTCTGGATCTGATGGAAGAGCTCCTGGTGGGGCAGGACATGGGGTGCATAGCCCAGGACCACCACATCAGAGGCTCTCATGCTTGAGGTAAGACATACATAGCAATCAACAGCACGTGTTAGGCAAATGCCAGGCTAGAAATAGATCTGCTTAGCCAGCTTTGCTGAGCTGCTTAATGTTTGGGGGTGAAAACTTGTTTGTGTCTAACTAGTGCTGTCCTCTCACTGCTCCCCAGATGGGTGCCAAGCCCAGGACAGGGGTTTCACATCTGTCTGAGCAACCACACAGAGCTGGCCATGGGGGTCTGCCTGCCCTGCAATGACAGCATGTGGGAAACCTGTGTATTCCCTTAGTCCTGCCCTCTCCTAGAAGAGGAGAGCAAGGGCAGGCAGCTGGGGACCAGCAGCTGCTGCTCAGTCATGGCTGGCCTTGGGAGCCCTCTGCTGTGAGAATGGTCTTAAAATGACACCTGAATGGGGCTGTGCCCTAAAAGCATACAGTGAGGAAGGGCGAAGTGATGGGCTCCTTCCTGCCCTCCCTCAGCTTGCCAGGGCAGCTCCATCTCAGCCCTTAGGTATGACCTGTTTGGTGCCTTGGTGGAGCTGCTCCATTCCCAAGGCACAAGCGCTGATGTGGATGTTCCGTGCTGTGCTGCTCATGAGGACAGCAGCACATTCGGTCCCAGTGCAGGTGGGGTGAAGGCACGTCAGGCTCTCTGTGCTGGCAGGCAGGAAGAGCATTTCTGGGAAGCCTGTGGCCCACATGGCTCACGCTGACCTTGGGGTGGGTTTGGCAGCAAACACTGGGGAGAGCTCTGGAAAAGAAAAAGGCCCCAGCCTGGGACTGGCTCCAAGGCTGGCCTCAGCTCAGAGCTGGATGACAAACACAGCCCCAGCAGGTCACAGGATGGAGACAGGACCGGTCCAGCTCCCAGGAGAGCACTGCTGCTGCTGCACACAGATGATGGGAGAGGCCTCTAAGCCAGAGACTTGGACCCTGAGGGGACCTTATACCTCCCTAACATCATTTAGAGGTTGATGGTGGGCTAGGCTGTGGGGAGCGAGGGGCTGGGAGCCCACTGCTACTCTGGCCCATGAACTGGAGCAGAGATGGTGACTCCAGCAGCTGCTTTCTCTTGCCAGGAAGCTAAGTAAGTGCTGAATTCATGCAATGCCAGTGATGTTTCCTGGGATTAATTCCACTCTAATGGACTTTCCTGATTTAGCTGTTGCTTCTTTTTGTCTGCCAGTGCACGCAGTGAGGTCCAGGCTGCGAGTCCACAGCCTTACAGCTAGGCACATCACCCAGGAAGCAGGAGCAAGACCCCAAACTTTGTTCAGACTTCCTCCACACACAAAAGAAAGCCCTGACTGGACTTGGGAGCATGGAGGGAGAGCCAGGCTGTCAGAGTCACGCGTTTGCCTGTGGGATACCAGGAGAGAAGGGACTGATCCTGACCCAGCTCATGGCAGGTACATGGCTTCTCTCTGGGACCAGCATGCTGCAGTGCAGTGCTGCCAGGGCATGTCAAACCAGGCACAGGGCAGAGGGAAGGGTTCATCTGTTGGGGACCTTGTGGCACTGCATTTATATGCGTTGGATGTGCCCCTGCCCCCTTGTACACACACTTGTACACAAGCTTCCACCCCACCTCTGCCAGCACTTTGGCAGGGCCAGCCCGGTGCCTCTCACCTCTCCTAGGGAACAGCACATGCATCTCCAGCCTCTGAACTAGGGCCCATGGGCTGAGGGGCTCCAAGGGATGTTGACCCCCTCCTTATGGCCTCGGTCCAGCAGCAGGAAGTCTCTGGGAACTGGCTTTGTCCTCCTCTTCCTGCTGTGGTTATGGCTAAGGGGAAGTCGTGCCCCATCCTTTGGGTCAGATGCTCTGTGCCAGGCAAACTGACCCAGCTCAGCCACAAAGGATGTCTTGTGTGGGTGACCCCAGGCTGAGGGGGGCTCATGAGGACACCCTGATCCTCACCAACCACCCCTGAGCTGGGGTTCACTCTCCTTACTCCAGTCAGAGAGGGATGTCATAGCCTGGGCGTGACCAGCAAGTAGGGATCCCTCTATGCAAGGACATGGATGGACATGGCATGGAACCGACGGGGTTTGATGCACCAGGAGCACCCAGAGCAGGGGAGTTTGGGGAGTGTGGGTGGGATGGGTGGAGGAGATGTGGGGAGGGCTGTTGCTGTTCAGGAGGGCTCCATGCAGACTCACCTATTCTCTGCCACCAGGATCTGCTCCAGGAGTTTTCCTGCCTGGCACTTGGTCTCCAGCTCCGCTGTGTACAGCAGGTTCAGCAGCAGGTCCAGGCCCCCCTCCAGGCGGATCACATCACACAGCACTTTGGCCACATCCCTCCCCAGTGTGGGCATCCCCCACGCTTCCTCCACCAGCTGGAACACCTCTGCAATGGCCCTGCTCAGCTCCGCGGGGCTGGCTGCCTGCTTGGTGTGGGTGATGGCCCGGTGCAGGGCGGGCAGGATGCGGTCCAGGGCTGCCCGTACATCCGTGTTCACCCCGGGGGAGACCTCCCGGTGGTCCCTGGAGCTGCCAGCCCAGCTGCCAGCCTGGCTCACGCACTCCGGCACCTCCAGCCGCTCCGCACCCGACATGGTGACGAACCGGCACAGTTTATAGAGGGAGACGAGCAGGGTGAGCACCATCGGCATCTCCTAGCACAGCATCCTCGGTCACCAGCCCGTCAGAGCCCCCCACCACGCTCCTTGAGGGGACCCCAGCTAGCCGGAGGGGTGGCCCGGGAGGCGGATGGAACAGGGCTGGGCTGCCGGCTCCTTCTCCCCTCCTTACCCAGCCGGGATGCGGAGCTGGAAGCGGTGGCTGGAGCTGCCTTCCCAGAGCCAGGCTCAGCATCCCCGGTCCTCAGGGGCTGATGTCACCCCGCACAGGCGCCGCCTCTCCAAGGAGGGGCTCATGTCTGGGCAGCAGCATCCCCCTCCTCGCTGCAGATGCTCTGACATCCCCCCAGACCCTTCCTTCCTTCCTTCCACAGCCCTGCTGCCCAGGCTCAGCTGGGGCTTGTCCCCTCTGTCCCCATGGCACATACATATCCCTCCCCTTGCCCAAGCTGGGGAGCTTGTGATCATCTCCACAGCAGGCAGAGACCCCCACGTTGCTTTGACACCACGTCTTCATGGCCCTGTGTGACTAGTGAAGGGGGCACAAAGTGGAAGTAAAGAGCCTTGATGGCCACAGTTGTTGTGGCCATCCTGGCGCCGTGTTTTGAAGCCGTTTGTATCAGTGCAGGGGGTTAAATAGCTGCCTTTGCAGGGCGGAAATTCAGAGCAGCTCTTCTGGGTGGGCTCTGGATTTGCATGAGAAAACAAAGAGCAGAGGCAGCCTGGGCCCCTTTTATTTTCTTTCCCTTTTTCCAGGCCAGACGTGCTCAGGGCAGAAATGCTTTGGCCACTTCTTGCACTGGGAGGAGCAGCTTAAATCCTTGCCTTCAAAACCAGGTTGTTGCCAGCTCAGACTGAGACTTAAATTCAAGTTGATGTTTTGATGCGACAGTCGCTTTTAATCCTCTCTGAACCCACTACAGGGGACAGGCAGAGGAAAGGGACATCAGCTCCCAGCGAAGGATGGTAACGGAGGCGTCCTGAGCAGCACAGCACTGCAGGAGAGGCTCAACACGGAACCAGTAAGGATTTTCCTGCTAAATTCTTATTAAACAGGGGTAATTAAATGAAAGGGGCTGTTGCAATGCAGCACAGCTGATGGGTTTGCTACCCTGGAGGAAGCTGCTCTCTGCGGGGGGGCAGAACTCAAACCATTCCCTAAGGCTTGTCCTGACAAGCCCAGAGAGCTTTGCTTTGCTTTTAGTTTTACTTCGCTTTTTTTGGGAGGGATTTCCAGCGCCAGCTCTGGGAATGGCAAGGGTTCCTGGGGGATCAGCCCCATTGCCTGAGCTCTCCTTGCTGGCTCTGCTCAGCCCTTGTGCTCCCCAGGGTGCCATTACCTGAACCAGCCCGTTTTTGGGGTCTCCTCCTGCCATGCTTTGAGCACAGCAGCCAGGGAAGGGCTCACCAGGATGGGAGCCTGGAGCAGCCGGAGGGAGCTTTGTCTTAGCCCATCAACCAAAGCAGCTCAGACACTGCCCAGCCCTTCTCCCCCCCCTGCAGCCTCCCTGCAAGGCTGTGGCTGCTCAGAACTCCCAGGCTCGATTCAACAGGGATGGGATGAAAATGTAATGCAGTGCTGGGCTCTTTGCCCCTAGGGATGACACCAACCCTGCCATAGCTGAGGCCAGGGGGCAAGGAGGGAGCTGCCCCAACAGCCCACGGCTGGTGGCTGCCCTCGGCTCACCAGGGCTTTCCACATGGAAATGCCTTCCTCGAAACCAAATCAAAGCTCTTTCCAGTAAGACTGGGAGCAGTCAATGCTGGGAACTGCCTGTGTCCGAGCTGGCAGAGGTGAGGCCCCTGCAACAGCGGGCACCCTGCTCTGGTTCTTCTCTTCCCAAACCTTTCATCACTTACTCAAGCCCAGAGGGGCCCATGGGGCAGGATGGACAGGAAGGTGAGCCTCCTGCCCCAGCAGAAGCAGCCAGGGGCAGTGTCTGTGTAGTGTCGTGTGTGTTTGCTCCTTGCCCTTGATTAAATAAACATCCCAGAGTTATCAGGAGCTGCCCAAAGATCTGAGCTGACATTAATTAGTAACCAAAAAGGTGGGTTGGAAAGGGAACGATGGGAGCAAAATACACAGGGTTTTGTTTGCGTACTGCAGTGAAAGTGCAGAGGGCTGCTGCTCTTCCTCCCTCCTTCCCAGCCGCTCACCCCTGGCCCCTGGTCCCTGTGCACGGAGGTGGCATCTGCCCCATCCTGAGCTGCTGCACCCTGGCGCTCCCCAGCTCTGCTCCCAGCCTTGCTGACACTAAGAAAGCCAGAATTCCAAGAGCAAGGCCTCTGAAATGGTGACATCCGCAGCTTTTCCCTTTGTCCTCAGAGCATCGCTCCCCATCCCTTCTCATTATGGTTTATGTCTTGCCAAGGCCAGGCTGGGAAACGGCCTCCCCTTGAGATGGAGCTTTAACACCACAAGCTTTGCTCTGAAATAAGCATGGCAGCACCTTAAGACTGGTTCCTGGCTCTGGCCTGCTGTCCTCCCCTGCTCTCTGAACCAGTGCCTGCATCCAGGCTGGGAAGAAGCTGCCTGCACACATGGGAAGCCCTGTTCCCCCTCAAACATACCCAGCTCATTATGGACTGCAGGGGATGCTGGGTGGGAGAATGTCTCTGCCCCTTTCCCCCTGCTCTGACCTTGGCCTGTTTGCTTTCTCCCACTGGGGCAGGCTGAGCAAACAGCGGGTGCCAGGCCCCCAGCTGCAGCCACGCTCCAGCCTGCAGTCACAGCAGGGCTGCTCTCCCACCAAGCAGGATGAGGCTGCTCTTCCCTGCCCTCGTGCTGGCCCTGCTCGCTGCTGCCCGTGCTGCTGAAGGTGAGCCAGCCCCAAAGCATGTGCAGGGTGGGGATGGAGTGTCTGTGGCTCCTGGGCTGATGGAGGAGCCTGCACAGGGTGAGGAGATGCTACCATCAGGTAGCAGCCGTGGGCACTGGCCACATTGGCAACGCCTTGGGAGAAGGTACAAAGGCAAAACGTGGGTTATCAATGGTGCCCGGGCAAATCCCTGGTCATTCTACTGCTGGATTGACAGGAAGAGCTGGGGCTTTGGCACAGCCTGCTCCATGGCTGCCATCCCAGCTGGATGTGGGATGGGAGCAGGGTGAGATGCTGCTGTAGACCCCGGTGATGGGGTTGGCCACAAAGAGGTGGGAATCTCCTCAACTGGGATGTGCTGGGGAGGGAGGCACTGGGCCCGCTGCCCACCCTTTGTTACTCCTCCTGTGCTGGGGTGGCTTTTGCAGACTCCTGTGTCGGCCGCTGTGACGATGGCTTCGATGCGAAGCGCAAGTGCCAGTGTGACACCCTCTGTGTGTACTACCAGAGCTGCTGCAGCGACTACTCCACTGCCTGCAAAGCCAAAGGTACTGGTCCTGTGGCACTGTCCCAGCCAGGGAAGGGGGGGGTTGTGGATGCCCAACAACAGTGGGGGATCAGAGGGGTCCATGGTGGGTCAGCTCTGCACCTACCGAGTCCTCAGGGTGAAGTTTGTGTCAGGATTTGTTGCTGCAGCACCAAGGGGCTCCAAGAGCTGCACTGTGGGGTCCTTGCAAATCCATATTGCCTGGGAGCAAGCAGTTCCTGCACCCAGATCCCATGGGAAACAGCCAGGGCTCTCTGGAACCCACCTGCTCCCTTCCACAGTGACCCGGGGAGACGTGTTTGCCTTGCCGGAGGATGACTACCTCGACTACAACTTCACCATCGACTTGGGCACAACAGAAGGCACCAGGGCAGCCCCCACAGAACTGCCCACGGAGCTACCCACATCCCTGCCTCCAGAACAGCCCACACTGGAGAGCAAACCAAACCCCGAGGAGACACTGACCGAGGCACCCAGCACCACGCTGGATGGGTTTGGGGAGCTGGAGCCTGTGGAGGAGCCCGAGGAGCTGTGCAGCAGGAAACCTTTTGATGCCTTCACTGACCTGAAGAATGGCTCCCTTTATGCTTTCCGAGGTACCCTGGGGACATTCCCTGGGCATATGGGACAGGCTGACAGAATCAGACCATACTGGTGGCTGAGGTCCCTCCTGCTGCTCCCACCACCCCTCTCTCCCTAGGGAAGTACTTCTATGAGCTGGATGAGAACAGCGTGCGGCCAGGCTACCCCAAGCTCATCAGCGACGTCTGGGGCATCGAGGGCCCCATTGATGCAGCCTTCACACGCATCAACTGCCAGGGCAAGACTTACCTGTTCAAGGTGGGTAAGAGCCCTGGCTGGAGGGGCTAGTACAGCTCCCCAACCAACCTGTCCATGCACACACACACACAGTGGCTGCCAGATATACCCACATCCTGGGCTCCAGGCAGCCACTGCCTCATGATGGGGCTTCCCAGCATCCACTCACACCCTGGTGCTGCACCCAGCCCCTTGACTCCCCTACCTCTGTCCTGCACCCCCCCAGGGCAGCCAGTACTGGCGCTTTGACGATGGAGTCCTGGACCCCGAGTACCCTCGTGACATCTCTGAGGGGTTTGAAGGCATCCCCAATGACATCGATGCGGCCTTCGCCCTCCCTGCCCACAGCTACCACGGCAATGAGAGAGTCTACTTCTTCAAGGGTAAGGGGCACAGTGGGCATGGGCAGGACACTGTCTAGCTCCTGCTCCCCCTCAAGGGGGTGTGTTCCCCACTAATGCCCTGCACATCCTCTCCTAGACAAGTACTACTGGTCCTATGACTTTGCCAACCAGCCCACACAGGCTGACTGTGAGAAGTCCTCTCCCTCCACCGTGTTCAACCACTACGCCTTCATGAACCGGGACAGCTGGGAGGACGTCTTCCAGATCCTCTTTGGCAGCAGGATGAGTAAGGGCTGGGCCTACACTGACAGAGCACAGGGGGTGCAGGTACCCGGGGAGGAGGGAGCGTGAGCAAGCTGAATAAGCTGTTGTGCTGGGCGGGAGCCCAGCCTATGGACAGGAGCCCCCCCAGGCCACAGCTTTATCGCCCACAGCACCCAAATCTCTGCAGCTCTTATGCCCCACACTGTCAAACCCATCACCATCCATCTCACACCACAGTGTCACTGCTGGGCTCTGTTTATTCCCACTGGAGCTGGAGATGCCTTAGGAAAACCCCAGCCCTGGGCAAGAGAAGTGAAAGATGGGAAGGAGGAGGAGGAATGAGTTCAGCAGCACAGGGCTGATCCCAGCTCTGCCTGTCCTTTGCCTGCTCATGACACCATCCAAGCTGGGATCCTTTGGAGCATCCCTGTGGGTCTGGGCTCAGCTCCCCCTGCTGCTGCTCTCACTTGCCCTGCGGCTCTCTTGCAGCCGGGGCGAGCAGCCCGCGGTATATCAGCAGGGACTGGCGGGGGGTGCCGAGCCGGCTGGACGCTGCCATGGCCGGCAGGATCTACGTGGCCTCGCAGCAGCCCCGCAGGAGGAAGTCTCGCCGCCAGCGCAAGAGGTACAAGAGCCACCGCTCGCTGAATCTGGGCTTCTGGAGCTGGCTGCACAACGACTCCGACTCCGCGGGCATTGAAAGCGACTGGCTGTCGGGCTCCAAGTGCGAGACCCTCCAGAGCGTCTACTTCTTTGTTGGAGGTGAGTCTGGGGCAGCGGGGGATCCAGGGATGCTGCCACATCCCTGAGGTCTGGGGTGCAATGGGACGGGGCCCAGGGTTGGCAGAGAGCCCTGACTGCCGTCTCCCCTTCCTCCCAGACAAGTACTACCGTGTCAACCTGCGCACCAAGCGCGTGGACCTGGTGCAGCCCCGCTACCCACGCTCCATCGCCCAGTACTGGCTGGACTGCCCGCAGCCCGGGGAGGAGAGCACCTGAGTGGGCTGCACCAGAGCCACCAGCAGCACAGCCCCTAGATAGACAAATAAACTGACTGCCATGCAGGCTGGAGAGCTCTGTCTGTCATCCATGCATCCTTCTATGCACCCCTCCATGCATCCCTCCATGCATCCCTCCATCCATCCTCCATCCATCCATCCGTGCATCCCTCCATCCATCCTCCATGCATCCCTCCATCCATCCTCCATCCATCCCTCCATGCATCCCTCCATCCATCCCTCCATCCATCCTCCATGCATCCCTCCATCCATCCCTCCATCCATCCCTCCATGCATCCCTCCATGCATCCCTCCATCCATCCTCCATCCATCCCTCCATGCATCCCTCCGTCCATCCCTCCGTCCATCCCTCCATGCAGCCCTCCATCCATCCCTCCATGCATCCCTCCATGTATCCCTCCATCCATCCTCCATCCATCCCTCCATGCATCCCTCCGTGCATCCCTCCATCCATCCTCCATCCATCCCTCCATTCATCCCTCCATCCATCCCTCCATCCATCCCTCCATCCATCCTCCATCCATCCAGTCAGTGGTCTGCACGGTCCTTGTCCCTGAAGGCTGTGGTTGTCCTCCCATGTCTAATAACTGCCTGTTGGCTGTGCCCGATCCCTGCTGCCAGCCCTGTCCATGTCTGTGCTGCTCAGATCTGCTCCACCAGCCAGTCCAGTGCCTCTTCCAACTGGAGGAGAGGGATGGTGTCAGCGGCTGCCAGACAGGAGACAGCAGGGTCAGGTCTGCAGCATCCCCAGGTCCACAGCCCCACACCTGAGTGGCTGGGTTTGGGATGGGTGCTCATCCCCGGGGGACCTGCCCTGCTCACCTCTGGGCTCCAGCAATCCCGGCCACGGTGGTGCTGAAGGGATGACCCTTCCCTCGGGGCTGGGACAGCGCTTGGGGCCTGGCAGCTCCCGGGGCAGGGGGTGCCGATAGGAGAAGCTCCTGCTCCTGCCCCTGCTCCTGCTGTGGGGACACAGGAACAAACCCCATTCACTCCCCTGGAGCCCCAGGAGCTCCTGAGCTGCACGATGCCCACAGGCCCCGGCTCTCACCGCTTCCCATGGGGTGGTTGGGGCTTCCCAGGAGCCTGATGGGAGCTGGGCAGAGCCGTGTCCTCCAGGCCTGCTGGCAGAGCACTGGCTCCTCCTTCGGGGTGCACCGGCTGCAGTGTGGGGAGCCCTGGCAGTGCCTGGGGGTGTGAGCAGAGCGGTCAGGCTGTGCTGTGCCACCCCCTTCCAAACTGAGCCCTTGGGACACGGTATCAGCCAGCCCAGGGCAGCACTGGGGGCAGCTGGAGGCAGGGGGTTGAGCCCCCCACATGAGGATGCCCATGGAGCCCAGGGTCCCCCCCCATGCTCACCGGCAGCCGGGGCCTCGTGGGGTGGCCAGGAGGGACGTGAGGGGTGCAGGCGCCCTGCAGCAGGGGGTGGCTGTCACTGGAGCTGCGGGTGGCTCTGCAGGAGGGGACATCCCCATTGGGGTCTGTGCACAGCCGGGGCTGCCTGGGGAGCAGGGGGGGAGCAGGGCAGGGCATTGGCAGCCCCCAAACCTCAGTCCTGCTCCTGGGTCCTGTGTGTCCCCCCATACCTCTGCTGCTCATTCTCCACCACAAAGTCCCTCAGGAGGCCGTAGAGGCTGGGCCAGGCTGGGGCTCCCTCCGATGGGAGCTGCCCTTCCAGAGGGGACTGATGCAGCCCTGTGGGGCCGAACCTGCCTCCCAAGCCTGGCCAAGCCCCCATCCTCATTGGGGTTCCCAGAACCTCCGTGCTCCTCATGGGCACCCTGGGCAGGCCAAGCTGCTGGCGCAGGGAGAGGTTTTCCAGCTGCAGGGCATGGATTTCTTCCTCCAAGCTTTGCAGCACCTTCTCCCGGGGTACCTGGCAGCACAAGGAGGTGTTGGTTCAGCGGGACCCCAACAGTGGCACAGAGCACCCTGCCCACAGCCCCTACTGGTACCCTGTTGGCCAGGGGCCTGCTGGTGACCCTCCGTGCCCGGCTGGCGTAGTGCAGCGTGCTCAGTGTCTCTGAGAGGCAGCCTGAGGATGGGGAGATGCAGGCGACCTGCGGATGGAGGAGGAAGAGCTGCAGCTTTCCTGCCTGCCAGGGGTCACCCGCCCCCCTCCATGGGGTGAGACCCCAGCCCAGCCACCTACCATCAGGGTGACCCCGGAGCCGCCCAGGGATCGAGCCAGCAGCCGGGTGAGTTTGCTGTCCCGGTAGGGAACGTGCATCCGCTTCCCACGGGGTTTGGCCAACATGGAGATGCAGTGTCCTGCAGGGGATGAGCCCCAGGGGCTGCAACAGGGCTCTGATGGGGACCTGCAGCTCGTGTTGGGGTCCCCCAGCTCTTACCCAGTGCCAGGAGGCTGCGGTTGATGCTGTTGGCCTCCACGGATTGCTCCCCGCTGGAGCCCGTCTCCTTCACCCGCTCGCTGCCGGCCAGGTCCACGAAGCACAGGGAGCCCTGCCTGCTGGGGCAGGCGCTGGCCTGGAGCACCCATGGTGCAGGGGGGGGTGATGCTTTGGCCACCATCACCCTATTCCCATAGCCCATAGCAGTGCCCCAACCCCTGGCTCCAGGATCTGGCTCCCTGCTGCTCATCCCACCAACACCAATAATCCTTGGGGAGAAGGGTATGCCCCTGTCCCCCCCATTCCCTCCCCCTGGAGCAGGACACGGGCTCACGTTCCGGATGTGGATGGTCAGAAGAGCGTGGCTGCGGCTCGAGTGCCTGTTGAGGGCATGTGCTGAGGTCCTTCTCCTCTGGGATCCTGCCAATGGGGGGGATCGAGAGCTGCTGCCCAGCCCCTGCCCAACAGGACCCTCCCTGGGTTCTGCAGCCCCTCTTGGCTCCCACCTGAGCCCCATCACCCTGGAGATGGTCTGCAGGGGCTGAGCCTCCCCATACCGGGTCTGACCCCCCTGATTGTGCCCCCTAGCTCCGTGCCCGTGGCTCAGCACCTTGCAGGAGCAGGCTGGCAATGGCCTCCAGGCTCTCGAAGTCCACACTGAGCTGGTTCTCCACGTAGAAACCACGGGTCTTGCTCCACCGCAGGGGCAGGGTGCATGGGGGCCCTGGGCTCAGCAGGTCCCGGATCTGGGGAGGAAGGGGGGGTACAGCAGAGGGGAGGCACTGGGAACACGGGGTGCTGGTCTGGGTGGCCGGGCAGGCACCCACCTGTTCATTGTATATCTCCAGGTAGGAGGCACTGAGAGCCAGGTCAGAGCCACGGCTCCGGCTCTGCTCCAGGAGGCAGGCGAAGGACCTCTGCATCAGCCCCAGCAGGGCCGGGGATGCTGCGTGGGTCTCCCCCTGTGGAGATGGAGGTGAGCGATCCCCCTGCATGGGGCACCCATGGGAAGAGCCCATCCCACCACCGTGACCCCGTCAGTGCTGTACCTGCCCGAGGGGGCCCATCAGGGTGTAGGTCTTCCCCGAGCCCGTCTGCCCGAAGGCAAAGACAGTGCAGGAGAAGCTGTGGGAGATGCCGAGCCTCAGGCATGGCCTCAGGCGGTGGCGCAGCGATGCCACCTCCCGACACGGTCCTGGCAGTGCGGACCCGCCCGTGCGGGATGGGATGGGATGGGATGGGATGGGCTGAGTGAGGGTCGGGGTCCGCGCAGGGCCCTGCGGCACTCACCCATCCATGGCCAGCTCCACCAGCTGCCTCATCCCGCTGCCTTCGAACACAGCCTCCTGCGAGGCGCCGGTGTCGAACACGGCGCTGAACCCGAAGGTGGCATCGTGCCGGGCTGCGCTCACCTGGCCCCGGGGACAGCGGGGGCTCAGGACGGGGCCGCAGCCCCCCCCCCACGGCCGCACCCCAGCACCGAGGGGGCACTCACATGGACGGTGCCGTCGCCGAGGCTGTGCACAACCCGCCGGTCCCCTCGCCGCGTCTCCGAGCAGGTCAGTGGCCGGACCCTGATGGTGTGTGTGGGGTGGATGGGCCCATGGGGACCCCCGCTGTGCCCGTGCCCTGGGCTGGAGGGTCCCCGATGTGTCCCCAAGCCCTTTGTGTCCCCCCTTACCTCAGCACCACTCTCAGACGCTTCTCTTTGCCCACTGCGAGGTCCCCCCGCTCCGCTCCAGGGCTCCTTTGGGAACAGAGGGCAGCGGGACGGTGGGTGCCCCCATGCAAAGGGGGGGAATGGGTAGGTGGGGAGCCAGGGTCGTGCTGCGCTCCCCCTCCCCACTGTGCCCCAGGGGATGCAGTGAAACATCCCCCCGTGGCCCTGCAGAGGGACCACCCTGTCCCCCCGCAGCCTTTATGGGGTGCGAGCCCCTCGCTGCCTGCCCAGCGGCTCCATCAGCACTGCCCAGGCCCTGCCTGCTCCAGGACCCAGAGGCCTCGGTCCCCTCCGTGTCCCCCCCCGTGACTTACGGTCTCCCCTGGCCCCGGGGGAGCGTTTTGGGCCGTGTTCCGGGCCGGGGCTCCCAGCCCCGCTCCCCCGCCGCCTCCATTCGCCCCTAGCTCGGGGTCTCCTCCCGGCCGCTCCCTGCCGCAGCCAGCGCGGGCCGCCCCGCACAACCGGCACCACCGCTCCGGTTAAACATTGACCGGTGCCAGCCCCGCGGGAGAGCGGCCCCCGCGCAGGGGGGCGGCCCCTCGGCCCCGGGCACCAGCAGCCCCCGGGGGGCCCCGACCCAGCGGGCAGCGGCTCCCCCGGAGCCCTGGGATGCTCCCGGACCCCACCGTGCCCCGCCGGGGGGGACACAGCAGCGCGGGCAGCGGCGGGGTCACCGGTCCCCGAGGGTGGATAAGGGGGGGCAGCGCCGCCCGCTCGGGGCGGTCCCAGCCCGTCGAGGGGGGATAAAAGCCGGGGCTGCTGCGCGGGCCCGGGGGAGCTGGGCAGGATGAGCGCGGCCCCGGGCACCTCCTGCGCCCCGCAGCCGCTGCTCCGCTTCCCCGGCGGGGCGGGAGGAGCGGGCGGCAGCCGAGCCCCGGGGCCGTGCCCCTGCCCCTGTCCCTGCCCCTGCCCGGGGGGGCCCCGCAAGCGGCGGCGGACCACGTTCAGCCGGGGGCAGCTCTCGGAGCTGGAGCGGGCCTTCGCGGCCGTGCCCTACCCGGACATCGCCACCCGGGAGCGCCTGGCCGAGCTCACGCAGCTGCCCGAGGCCAAGATCCAGGTGAGCGCCCACGGGACCCCCCTTCGGCCCCGGGGCCGCCCCGTCGCTGTCTCACGGTCCCGTGTCCCCATCCCAGGTCTGGTTCCAGAACCGCCGCGCCCGCAGGATCCGCAGCGCCAAACCGGAGCCACCGCCGCAGCCTCCAGCAGCGCCCGCGGAGCGGGGTCCCTCCGCAGCACCCCCCGACGGCACCGCCCCGGGCCCGGCCCCCGGTGCGCCTGCACCCGGAGCCTGCAGCCCCGCTCCGGGGCTCCCCACCTCGCTGGGCTCCATCTCTGCCCTCATCTACAGCGCGGCCATCACCAACCTGGGCGAGCCATAGCCGCAATGGGGACCCCCCCCCCATAACCCCCCAGCTCAGCGCTCATTGGGGTGTGGAATTACTGCCGGTCCCGAGGATGCCATCCCATAGCCCAACCGCCGGGGCCCCGTGGCGGGGCCAGGCCCCATCAGCCCCCTAATGCCGACTAATCTTTTGGATGACAATACCTTAATCTGGGGCCGCTTCCAGGGCTGATTGCGGCGCGGCCGCCCCTAATCCGCAGGCACGTTCCCAGGTGCCGGCAGATCCCCCGTATCGGATATTAAAGCGGGTTTGCAGCGGGGCTTAGCTGCCATCAGAGCATTAATCACCGTGTCCGGCCCTGGCAGGGCGCCCGCACCGTGACCACGTCCTCAGGGGATCCCCTCCCCACTGTGGGTGCACTGAGCTGGCTCCTTTCCTTGCTCCATGGCCACTGAGAACCCCCTGGGCTTGATGTGGAGGTGCCACCATTCCCTACCCACAGAAGCTGGGATGCTTTGGCAGTCCCTGCATCCCTCATCCTGCTCCTGGAGGGCTGGGGATGTGGCAGCCGCAGTGTAAGGACATGGAGGTGTCCCCAAGCCCGTCGTGGCTGTGGTGGACACCATGATCCTCCTGAACTGAACTGGGATAAGGGCTCATCCCCGAATATGAGCTGGGTTGGGTGGAGGGATGCTCTCCTGAGAGTGGGAGAGAGGAGCTTCCAGCAAGAGCTGGAGTGGGATGCGGGATGCGGAGGAAGAGGGAAGATCCATAGCTCTGTGGTGCCTCCTAGATTCCTGCAGCAACAGCATCTCCAGAGAGGCAGGAAGCAGGTTATGAACACACTGCCATTTATTTCCATGATAAAGGAGCCAGCATGGGAACAGTGGGAGCTAAGCCCCTCTTTGTGCTGGGTTACACCAGTCCACCCACATCCCCTCCTCTGTCCCGCTGCTGCAGGATCGCTACTCCAGGATCCAGGCCTGAGGGATGCAGCAGGTACCGCCAGGCAGGGGAGGACAAACCTGCCCCAAACCCATGACTCCAGGGGAGAGCCGGAGCTCGCAGCCATCAGAGCTTCCCAAGGTCCCCTTCCAGGGTCCGCACCATCACGTACAGCTCGGCCAGGCCAACCACGGAGGCCACGATGACGGCGGCCAGGACCCGCTGGGGACACGGGCAGAGAACAAAGCGATGCTGGGGGTGTGCATGTGCAGGGCCGGCACCGGGGGGGTGTGCACCGGGGCTCACTCACCGCAGCCGTCTCTGCGAACACGTACTGGCTGCCCAGGTACGTGCAGGCGAAGGCGGCCGCCACCGTCACCAGGAAGTTGAAGATGGTGATGACAACGGCTCTGACGGAGCGCACTGCGGGGAAGAGATGGTGGGAATAGGGGGGGATATGGGGCTGTGTGATCCCAGCAGCAGGGCCTGACCCGCGGGAGCCCCCATCAGCAGCACTCACCTTGCCTCCCGAATTCAGCCAAGGACCCGTTCGTCTCCTAAAGGATGAAAGCAACCCGGGTTCAGTTGTGTTTTAATGGTAACCATGGAATAAAGCTGTCCCAACCCCCTGCAGCAGCGCTGCAGCACTCGGGTTCCTTGGGAGTTCTGTGGGATCTGGCTCAAGAGCATTGAGAAGGGAACAGTTCTCATCCAAGTGCTTTCCAGAGCGCGTTTTCCTGCCTGTGGGCTCCCTGCTGCAGGCTTGGCTTTAACAGGGACACTGAAGGGTTTGGCCTTGTCACCATGTCCATGCCTCCGGGAAGAGCTGAGTGTTGCAAGGCTCCACACGCTCTGTGCTGACCTGGACATGGTGACACCGCTCTGAACACCAGATCGTGGTGGGGAGGCAGGGAAGAGTGGGATGAGCACACGGGATACGCTCCTCTGCTTCCCTGCTATTTGAGAGGAGCACTGCTGGCATTGCTGCCCGGCTCTGCTGAAGCTGCTCTGGTTCATGGATCATGGAATGGTTTGGGTTGAAGGGACCTCAAAGCTCCCCCAGCTCCAACCCCAGCCACGGGCAGGGACCCCTTCCACTGGAGCAGCTTGCTCCAAGCCCCTGTGTCCAACCTGGCCTTGAGCACTGCCAGGGATGGGGCAGCCACAGCTTCTCTGGGCACCCTGTGCCAGCGCCTCAGCACCCTCACAGGGAAGAGCTTCTGCCTAAGAGCTCAGCTCAGTCTCCCCTCGGGCAGGTTCAAGCCATTCCCCTTGGCCTCTCCCTACAGGCCCTTGTCCCAAGCCCAACGGCCTCGTCCACCCCGTGCCCCCCCCCATCGCGCCGTTATCCCCGCACCGCCGGCTCCCTGTGCCCCTCCGTCTCTCCGGGGGCTCCGCTCCCTCCCAGCTCCACCACCGCGGCAGGCGCCGCTCACCCTGCCGGTGACATCGCGGGTCATCCGCCGGTACTCCTCGTTGGCCAGCCTGGCCTTGATCCGCTCCAGCCGCGCCACCAGCTCCGGGTTCTGCGGGGAGGGAAGCGCAGAGCTCGGCGAGCACCGGCACCACCACCGCTGCCAACCCCGCCTTGGCCCCCACGTACCCGCGGCGGCACCGGCACCTCGGGCAGGTGGATCTCGCTGCCCTCCAGCAGCTGGTGTAGGCGCAGCGGGGACCCTGCGGTGCGGACAGGCCGGTTACCGGCGGCGCGGCCTATGTCACCGGGGGGGGGGGAATGTGCGTGCAGCGCGGCCTACCTGCGTCCCGCAGCGCGGCGTGCAGGCTCCGCAGCAGGCTGAAGGGCACCAGCGAGCCCTCGGAGGCCAGCGCGGCCCGGAGCTCGTCCTGCAGCCCCTGGGGCAGCGCCGCCAGCTCCGGGCCCTCCGCCGCTCGCCTCAGCCGCGGCCCGGCCCGCACGGCCGACGCCATCTTGCCTCCGCCGTCACCCAGGCAACGCGGGGCCGCGACCATAGAGCGCCGCGCTAGAGCAGCCCCCTCGGGGCCTGCCGGGAAGCGGAGGGAGGAGGAGGCGGTGCCGCGGTGCACTGTGGGCCGGCGGCGGGATGTCGGGCTGCGCGGCGCGGCGGTACGTGGCGGCGGCTCTGAGCCGGGCCCGGGGCCGCGGGGCCCCGCTCTGGGAACCGACCCCGGTGCCGACCCCGGCCCCTGCCCGCGGGCTCCGAGCCCTGAGCGCGGGCGGCGCCGCGGCCCTCCCATTGCAGCTGCTGCCGCCGCGCAGGCACCTCTCGTCGCGGTGAGGCCTGTGGGGGTGTCCGGTGAGGGAGGCCTGGGGAGCTGCGGGGATGGGGAAGGAGCGGGGCCATGGCGGGGCTCTAAGGGGTGACAGGGTTGGGGTGTCCGGTGCCGTTGTCAGAGGGGGAGCCGGGCGGTCTTGTGTGTAATGGGGCCCTCATTGGGATGTGCGGGAGCAGCGCCTGGGGCTCGGGTGCTCTGTATGTGCCCCCCCCCCCCCAACCTGCGTCCGGTTTAAACCCCCCCTGTGCCCCCCAGGAACCGTGCAGAGGGCAAAGTGCTGGAGACCGTGGGGGTGTTCGAGGCCCCGAAGCAGCACGGCAAATACGAGACCGGGCAGGTAAGGGGCTGCGATGCACAGGGCCCGGGTGCTCCAGCGCGGTGCCATGGGGAGGCCGCTGTGCTGGAGCCCGGAGCCGAGGGGGGAACACACACACACACAGTTCATGCTCCCTGCCTGTGCTGTGTCTGCAGTTTGTGCTAGCAGCACGCTCATAGGGATCTGCAGTGTGACACAAGTGGCGTTTGTGCCACGGGGCTCATTGAAGGGGTTTCTCCTGAGCTTGGGAATCAGCTGAGACAGAGCCGGCTCTGCTCACTGCTCACAGCTCTTCCCATGCCCCCAGCACTGGTCTCCTTCCTGCTCTCCTGCTGCTCTGCCACCCTGGCTTAGTTACTTGCTTTCATGGGGTAACAGTGACACTGACTTCTCTCATCCCAGACCGTTTCTGTCCCCTCTTTGTTCCTGCTCTGGGCTCACGCACTGCGGATCCCTGTATTCCCATCCCATGTGTCCATGCCCTTTAGAAACATTCCCAGTTTCACCTCAGTTAACAGGTCTGTTTAAATCTCACCAGAAAAGGGCTTTTGGCTTCCTGTTCTGTGTTGTATCCCAGTTGATTACAGCTTGCTGTGCATTCAGCTGCGATTATTGCTTCCTTTCAGCTCTTCCTTCACAGTGTGTTCGGCTATCGAGGAATAGTCCTGTTTCCCTGGCAAGCCAGGCTCTACGACCGGGATGTAGCTTCTCCTGTCACAGAAAAGTAAGGAATTGTCCTGGTTTATTTGTTGTTGGACCCTTCCATTGACCCTTTGTAGTGAGATTCCTGCTTGGGGGAAACAAGGCAGTGTAAGGAGCGTGGTACGGGGCTGTTCTGCATGAGTGTGAACAGGAGAGAGGTGATTAAAGGAGGGGTGGTGCATGAGGATGAATGGTGTGTTAATGGGAAGCAGGATGGAAATGTGGAGGGTGAGTGTGTGTGAGGGACATAATGGGAGTAATGAAGTCATGCTCCTGGCATTTATTAATATAAAGACCCCCCCTTGTTCTGCTCTTTGAGCTGGGAGCAGGCTCCTGTGTTAGAACTGCAGCCTGGTGCTTCTGCCTCCCCAGCCCTGTCCCTGCAAGACCTTGCCTAAGGCCCTCTCCAGGTTTCCTGTAGCCCTTTTAGGCACTGGGAGCAAAGCAGCTCTTCCCACAGGAGTTAAGGCAACAGCAGGATGCATGCAGGGACTTAACACATGGGGATGTCAGAAAGAGTGTGGAAGAGGAACAGCAGGCTGGGATCACAGGGAATACCAGCAGGAAGAGATGCTGGCTTGGCCCAACAGTCATCATGCCAAAAGATCTCTGCTCTTCCTCCCTGGCCTGTGTTGAAGGCAAGGAATTGAGGAGTAAGCAAAGAGAGAGTCAGGGCACAGTAAAAACACCCACCCCAAACAGGAGACTGGGTTGAGCATGAAGGGATTCTGAGTGGTCTGTGACAAACCCCACTGACTGTCATCTCCTGGGTTTAGTTTGGATGGAGCTGGATGTTACAGGCTGTGAAATGTATTGCTTCTCTTGGTCCTG